ATCCCTCATTCACGTGTGTCTAGTGGCGGACCCAGGATTTTTGCCCAGGGGGGGCCCTCGCTCCGCCACTGTTTGCCAATCAACTAGTGAAAATATAAGAAAATAACATTCAATTCACAAGGAAACACAAGAAAATTTTTACGTGGAAAAACCTCTTCAATGTGTAGAGATAAAAAAAACCACGGGAATATAATCTAACAATCCACTTAAATCCAATATAATCAAAAGAGTTTACTGATGCATATTTTTGACAAACATGCAAATATAGCAAGTGCACTAGTCACAAAAAGTAATAAAGTGATAAGTAGAGTATCGTTCCCACGAGGATAGTGTTACTAAGTACCGATTTCTCTAGTTTAAGTCCTAATTGAAGCAACAATAAATTGGATTGATAGAAAATTAACTAACTAAATACAATTTAAGAAAATATAAATGAATGATAATGAAATTAAAGCGAAACCCAACAACTTAACTAATTAAACAAAATGCTAAAAAAAATGCTAAGGTGTTGATTTCACGTAGATATGCTAACCCAAATCATAGAATCTATTATCCAAGTTCTAATTCCTTGATTGAAAATCGAATTCCCTAAGTTGTAAAACATACATTCTCAGGCTATATTTTCCTACTTATCCCTATTAAGCTTCCGCACCTAACAAAATAAAGATTAATAGTTTAAAGTCTTTTAAGCTTAATAAAGATTAATAGCTCAAAGTCTTTTAAGCTTTATGGAATTCTATCTAGATTTCATAAATCGCTAAACCTATCTCTCATAAATCGCTAAACCTATCTCTAGTGTTTGCTTAATCTACCGTATTTATCCCAAGAGGCATAATCACAAATCATTTCTCAATCTTATTATGAATAACACACATTTGAATGGTGATCAAGCATCAAAAAGTTATTAAGCAAAGAGATAAACACTCAATCATGAAATTAAAACTCAAAGTAAATCAATTCATATAAATTTGAATCATTGTATCAAGGTTACATCAAACCTCAGCTAAACAACTCAGTTCATACTCAAAAACAAAATAAAATAATAAAAACAAACTGAATCAAGATTCATCATTGAAAAACAAGCAAAAGATGGAGAAATATTCTCTAATTTGAAGCCCAAATCTTCAATAATCTTCTCCTTCCAAAAGCTGCCTTTCAAATGACGAACCAAGGCCCTTTTTCTTTCGTTTTCGTGCTAATTTATACCACTTTCACTTAAGGACCAAGCCCTAGCAAGCCAAAAAGCGTCGTTTTATTTTTCACATCTGACGCAGTTTCGCCGCAACGAAGTTTTTTCCTTGCCGCGGAGCCAAATTTGAGCATGAAAGAGTCTTAATATGGAAAAGTGTTAAACATATGAATTGTAGCCCTTTAAATTATGTTTCTACTCGTTCAAGAATCATAACAATACGAGGTCTACAGCTCAAGTTATAGAAGAAATACTGAAGCACATCCAAAGACGTTTTCCTTCAGTTTCTAATATACTGTTCACGACTTCAAGCCAAGTTTTCACCCTTGTCCAGTCAGAATTAGGAAAAACCCAAAACATGAAAGTTGTAGCTCTGCTTCTTAGCTTTCAAAGCTTCTAAAATCAGGTCATTCTGAGTTTCCAAGCTCAAGTTATGTAATTTACGCTCAAAACTGTCATCTATACTCAAAATCATCATTTAGGCCTACAAAGACAAATTAATAGAATTAGGTAGCAATTATGGCCCAATTTGTATGAGAAGTATCCTAAATCCTATCGAAATTTAATACAAAATCATAGGGAAAAATAGGATTATCATTTACAATAACCACAAATTCACCAAAAATATTCTACATAAATTTAGAATTCAATCACAACTCTAATAAAAGTAAAATACACAAAGGTTTATAAAAATATGGATTACAATCACTCCAAATCCAGATACGCATGTAAAAGGGAAGGGAAATTGGGAATTGGGAAAGAAAAACTTAAATATAAAAAAGGCAAAACCTAACTTTTTTTTCTTTTTTTTTACCTTTTAAAAAAACTTCTCAAAATTTTTTTAAAAGTTGAGGGCAGGCCCGGGCCTACCCTCAAAGGGCCTGGGTTCGCCCCTGCGTGTGTCTCCTGAGTCAGCTCAGCATTTCTCACATGCGAGTCGTTGGTGTCAAAATCGAGCAGAAATATACAGATATTATCACTAAACCAGGAAATATAAGAGCCATCAGCCCTCCACCCACAAGTTCTTGCGCTCTCGCAACCAGAAACCGCGCCAAGTCTTCCGCAAACTGATCCAAATAAGCCTGTAAAACTTCGCTCCTTTCACTGGTGTAGTGAATCCTCCCACCATTCCAGGCCTTGGAGGTTTTGCCTTTGACTTCTTTCGGCACATTGGAGAGCACCAGTGGAGTGCAAAAGATGAGTACGCAATGTGAAGGGAGGCCTTCGGAAACAAACGATCATGGACAGATCTTGGAACTCCGGCTGCACAATATCTCCTTCCAGGTGGGAGTAATTTAAAGAGAGTGTTGAAGTCATTGCTGACATGATCGTTGAAGAACACTTGAAATTCAGCTGCATTTTGTCCCTTCTTCTCCTGATTTAAGTTTAAGCTCTACAGCTTCGATTATCGCCTGAACTACTAGAAATGCATTTGGCCCAGTAGCGCACCCAAAATCTGCAATGCAAAATGAATGAAACAAACCTGAATGAAAAACTTGTTTGATGTCAAGCTTGTTGATGATCTCCTGGCAGATGATTTCTTGAGCTATCTCTTTATTTTTCGCTGCAAAAAATAAAGCAGTTCTAAGAAACCTTACTCAAAATTCTAGTCAATAACAGCAAATATAAACAGAAAATAGAACCTGATAGTAGGAGTTTTCAGCACAGCTGTATGGTCCATTTCCTTCATACATAGAATATGAGTTAGGATATTCATTTTGGAAAATAATACAGCCATCAACGGTAATGCACCGAATAATGTGGTAAAATCCTGACCATTGATTAATTTTAACTTAATATTAATCAACGGTCAAGATTTTGTCACGTCATTCGATACATAAATTCGATGTACTACCATCGGCGACTGTGTAGCATTACTCATTCACTTTTCCCTTCAATCTCCATCTCTAATTCCTCTTCCGAATTTGTGTGTGCGCCATATATATTTATAGAAGATCATGAATCATGATATGATATCCCATGCCAATATTTAATATTCAACGTAGGGTGGGTGGCACAGACTGAAACAGCTACAAAATCACGTGCAAGAGCAATATTTAGTACAGTTTCTATTTGACTTGAATTGACTTTTGGGATCTCCATAAGTTTCATTAAACTAAACCCACAAGAGACAAAGCAAACTGAGTAGGTGGCATATTTGCTACAGTTTTTATTTGACTCTACCAATAATGTTACGGACATTGAGACTCTACGTTAAATTACGTGTTTCACGACTCACACTAACCACGTTTTACATTTACAAATATTTTAGTTTATATGTTAATGTACTCCCGTATATTATTAATGGTTTTAAAAAAATATCATGGTTTATGCACGTGAGTTACGGACTTAAGTACAAACCGATTCTTCCTCACTTTCTCCTTCAAATTATAGTTCTTTCACAATTTTGAGTCCGAGAACATGTCGCAGGGACTAAAACAAAAACAGAAATTGGATCCTGATAAAGAGGAAAAAAAGTCAAAGGAAGTCGTGGCGGTGAGCAAGGATGATGAAGAGGCGAACAAGGACCACAGCCTTAAGATTGTGGAGAAACATCTATTGATGCGTGCGGCCAAGTTAGTTCAGAATGATGCTGACGACGACAATGACGTCGTATTAGATGATGAGAAATATGTGGATCTCTCTTCTTCGTCGGCCAAGCAAGACCATGACAATGGCAAGAGTAATGGAAAAACTGGAGAATCTAACGTTATAGATGTGGAGAATCTCCAACAGCGTTAAAACATATAAAACAAAAACGCATTTGGCCCAGTAGAGCAGCCAAAATCTGCAAAGCAAAATGAATGAAATAAACCTGAATGAAAAACTTGTTTGATGTCAAGCTTGTTGATGATCTCCTGGCAGATGATTTGTTGAGCTATCTCTGAAGCTTTTCTCTGCAAAACATGAAGCAGTTTCAAGAAATCTTACTCAAAATTCTAGTCAATAACAGCAAATATAAACAGAAAATACTACCTGATAGTAGGCGTTTTCAGCATAGCTCCATGGTCCAACTCCTTCATACATAGAATATGAGTTGGGATATTCACTTTTCCCTTCAATCTCCATCTCTAGTTCCTCCTCCGAATTTGTGTTTATGTGCTACATATATATATATATATAGGATCATGATATAATTTCGCATGCCAACCATTGGATCTTTTCAATAAAATCCAATGTTTTTTTTATCGTTGTAAACATCAAACACTTAGCGTTGAATGTTACGTTTTCCAAATATTATACCAAAACCAATATAGTATTGAGGGTAACGTTATCTCAGTAATGTATCAACTTCCTGTCCACACATGACACGTATAATATAGTATCAGATTCCTCTTTCTATTTCAGGCATCTCATGTGTAAAATGAAACGAATGAAGAATATTAATAAATTTATTTGGGTTATGAATTAGTCACTTTTGTTGAATGAAAAGAACCTGGAACGGCTGCAAGAGTCAACTGAGGTGATAAGAAGGTCGGTGGCACATTTCCCACATTTGTTATGTCAATAGTCAATACAAGTATATGCTCGTTGAACAAATAAATATGGAAATAAGAAAGTTCATTTTATAATATTTACCAAAATGTAATAACAATATGCTGAGAGCCGAAATACGAATTAACAGAGACTGCAATTTCATATTCAGGTTCGTAAAACAAGTTCAGAGGATTTCTAGATTATAAAGACAAATGAAATATTGTCATTGCAAGTTTTCTGGAGTTTTGGCCCTTATATCAATCATGATGCCAATCAGCAGCATAATAAAAAGGACTGCACAAGGTAAAAACTCAGAAGAATTTTGAAAAGTAGTCTTCATAAAAATCTACAATTTATTTCTTTGACAGATGGTGTTTTGACTTGAACAGGAATTCACACTCTTGTGTATTTTTTTTTCTTTCCTCTCAATCCTATAATCTATTTACACACGTTACAACAATATTAAGTAAATGAGAAGATCAACAAAAAAACCGATTACAAATACATGGCTCACAGATATTCTACTTGAAACTACTTTTCATGGTTTGAGTTGTGCAAAGACCGATGAACGAAGTTCTTGTTGAGGTGAGAGGGTTTTGCCGTTCAGAAGCATTTGCCCCACAAAATCCACACGAATTGACTTGAAATTGTAACTCTGGTTCAATTTCCATGAAACAAAATCTAAAAATCAGGTATATGTTCTTCATCATCCTTATGGTAGATCTATAGAATAAAGAGCAATCTAAGATTTTTCGGACAACCATGTACCCAAATAAAATTTCGTCCCTCCATGAACAAAAACAATAATGAAATTCCACAATCTATGAGAACATACCTTTCCTTTCCAAGAAAAAACATGATGACGGTAATAAGGTTGCAATAGTGTTACCTGATCTCCTTCTTTAATCTGCAATCAGAGGGTTCAATTAATTCTAATCTACTGTGTGTATAAATCAACAAGCAACAGCATGCTTTGTGGTTTTCTCAATATATGCAAGGTACTTCTCGATTCATTTGTGGGGTCTATAAAAATTATCTAATTTGACATAGGGGCTTTACAGACATTTAATGGACTGAAAAATGTAAAAGTCAAGCAGCTAACTCTTACCACATTATCACGCACACTGTACACAGATAGAACAAAGCATGTCTGATTTGAATCACAAACCAAATAGTATCTGCAATATGAAAAAAATAGAAAAGGACTTTGATTGTTATCTCAAAATACTATTAGCTTAATACAATATAAAAGTGCATAATTCGTGATAAAGTTCCAAGCAAGATGAATCTGAATGCATGATACTTCCTATAGCCATCCCATAAAAATAATTATAGTCTATAGACCCCTCGGCATATCAGGTAACATAGTTTTAAGGAGTATAAGCTATATGCCTGTGCAGCATAAGTTCATGATTAATATATTTTGATGTGCAATAAATACAGTAGTCAAGCAGATTACTCACAGGGGAGTGACATTCTCATAATTCACGAAGAATAGCACTTTTCCAACTACTGCAACTCTGTTCAGACCCTCCGAAAGCATATCCACAGCGACTATTTTATGAGAAGAATTCACTAACCAAACAAGAGGCACGGAAAAAATAAATATGAACATGTTAAGTTAGCAAACTCATAAGTAGAAGTAGTAAATTACCAGATTAATGACTATGCGCTACTAACTAAAACAGAAGAGCCATGTAGCTTACACTTAGCAGCAGTAAGAGATGATGCCAAAGATGCAAGTCGTTTGCCTCTAGCATGTACCTATAAAACCACATCTGATCAATAACAGATGCACCTCTTGAAGAAATAAAACTATTTGCATTGGTACCTTCAAAGTGGTCTTTAACTTCTCATTGACCTTCCTTAGAAAGTATAATGTTGAACAAAATTTAGCACCATAAAATGGTTTATAAAATCATTACCTTCAATAAATTCTCTATCTTATCGAGAAGATTAACCATCTTTTGGACCTCCTCAGCAGCACTAAGACTAGGATCCTTTAAGGCAGCAGCTTCAAACCCCCTAAGAGCCCTCTCATAATTCTCTAAATATGTGTCTACCTGTAAACAGGAACTGCATCAGGAACTTATAAACCACCAACGAATTAAAAAACAGTAACTTGCTTGTGACAGGTGGAATTGAAATCCACCAATGAATTAAAGTATTAAACAATAGAAAGCAACCTGATGATAAGACAAATATGATACTAACGCAAGTACACCTGATAGCAACATAAACAAGATCTAGAGACTTTTCGATCTTTAGTTATTTAATAAATTTTCATAGAGAAAGATGAGGAGAAAAATTCAACTTACAGTGGCACAGTTAAAATACAAGTCAGGATTGGACTTCATTTTTTCGTCTTTCTCCTAATACAAATTAATCAAAATGAGAAGATAACCAAAATCATTAGGAAAAATGAAGAAGAAAACTTCAAAATGCTCCTTAGCAGCCCTTAATCAACAGATTCTTCCCAAATTAAAAAAAAAAATGATCAATAACAAAACTATAATTTGAAGAAATCAACTGGGAGCAGGAAAATGCATTCCAAGGGAAAGTTCTGCTTTGCAAACTTACAGCATTTTGGTAGGCTTTTAAAGATTGCAAAAGTTTCTGGTGATCCCAAGATCCAGTCACAAAGAAACTTGTGAGGCATGCATTTCCAAGGTTGTCTGTCATTAGGATGATATGTTATAACATATGAGAAAGATGATTATAATAATATAGGTGAAAGAAATAAGAAATGATATAAAATCTCAAAGCAGAGCTTCTTACAAAGGGAAAAAGGAAAAAGGCATAATGTGCAAGGGTGGGTTAGAAACCCAAACACATAAGAAAAATAAAAAGATCACATATGTAAAAAATAAAGTGTACACCCTTCTCTCCATGTGCAGCAATAAGAGAAATGGTCGAATCATCAAATAGTATTCACATATGTAGCAAACCACAAGAAAACCAATAAACATAGCGTACGCAAATTAAGTTATCAAGTCAAGACAAAGTACAGCATGTGTTTACATGAAAACATATTCAAAAGATCATAAAAGCGGATCATAAGCTAATTTTTTATAGTTGAATTTTAGCATATATAATTTGGTACTGTACCGAACAGAAGACAATACTACACAATTCAATCCTATGCCATCCAATCCTAGTATATTCCAAGTGTCCAATCCTCTATGGCATGCCAAACAAGGGCTTAAACTAATACAAAGTAAAGCATGCATTTACATGTGGAAATTATTAAAAGATCAAAAGATTGGAACATAAGTTCCTTTTTCCTAGGATTCAAATTGAATCTTACACCAAGAATTTCCATCCTTGACATCCAATGTGATAGCTTCTTTGGCATGTTGAATGCTTTCTTCAACAATTTCTATCTGATTCTCAGAACCTAAAAAACACAAAAGAAATTTTAGTAAAACGATGATAAATCCATATTGAAGTAGAAACTACAACTTCTGTTTTTCCACTACTTCAGTTATATTTTTGGAGGGGTAAAGGCACCAGAGGAGGAATAAATGCTATTACTTTGCTTTACATTCTCAAAAGAAATCGTACCAAAAGTTTGAATCTCGACTTCACAACGGATAAGACTAAGATCAGAACATCTTCAGAAAAATAAAGAGAGTGAGATAAGAACACAAAGACTATCAATGGCCACAGCGTTATTAATTTGAAAGTGTCAATTTGCAACCCTGTCTGCACTAGCCTCACCTTAAATTGCAGCATTGTAATAACTAGTAAAAGTTTTAATTTAATAGACAGGAATGTAGATGTTTCTGTAATCATCTTTCCTAGCCAGCGACTACCTTTTTTTCTCTAAAGCCAGAAAGAATCATTCCAGAACAATTTTAAGCACAAATGGACTAAGACTTCCTAGCAAGCCCGTAGATAGAGATAATAGAATGTGCCAACAGGCAAGAAAATACCATTTGAAATTGTGGCTCTCAATATAATACCCCTAGGCAGCCAAGAATTAAGTGTAAATCTTAATACAGGGGAAGGAAAATTTTCTTGCCTTGAGCCATGCTTCTTTCGAGCATAGATAACTGACAAAGTATTTTCTTATTTGGACCCTGCATGAGACAAAAATGTAAAATAGATAAAAGGTTAGTAAAATGACACTTAGAGGCATAAATTCTTTAAAAGCAAAATGGCAATCAACTGTCAAACATAACCTTGCTTAATGCAAGATTGAAGCAGTTCTTAGCAGCAGGTAAATCTCCCTTTTTCCAAATGCTGACGCCCAAACATAGCCAAGCGTCTGTAAGAGAGGGATTCAACTTCACCTGGGGCATCAAAACTTCAAAATATGAATATGAACCCGAGCATTACAGCAAACCAAACTAATAAAGCACCGAACAGTCTACTCTTGCTTACAGCTTTTGAGAGATGATCCTCTGCCTCTTTCCTGTAATCAGGTACAACATCCAATATCTTTCCTCGCAGATATTCATACGTTGCACGCTGTAGAGGTGACTTCCTTTGTTCTGCGAAAGAAGATGATATATTTCACTTCTAATGCTAAATGTAACATACAATCAAAAATGTGTAGTGCAAGACCCATTACATAAACATCCGAAAGAGATTCATCAAAAGAGATATATGTTACTAAATGTAATATATAATTTAAACCACAAGAAACATTATATCACTCAACTAAAAAAAAATTAATTCAAGAGAGGCACCAACATTAATCCCTAAACATTTAGCTTCAGCACTCAATATAGCACTAGAACAGAAAGCTGCAACTAGCAATTTTCCCCAAGTACAATACCTACGCTTAGGGTATTCTATCTTACAAGGAGCAAAATCCCAATTATGAGACCAAACTGACGTCATTTCAATAATATACAACATGTTATTGATCCAGTATATCTCATATCACAAGAGTGGCATTACCCATTACCACGAAACATTCCGGTAACGTTACTGTACTATAACCCCATTTTAGAATAACAGAGTCCTGTTCAGTTTTCTTTATTTACTCTATGTGGAACACTATGCTTCTAGTCCAACATTGTTATCAGGCCAATTAAAATATCAAAATAGTAATATAAAACAATCATATTTATGAAATATGTTATCAAAATGATGTTCAGCACAATTCATATTCCATTACTTAAATATTACAAATAAAAAAAAAAACCAACAACAGCCCATGTTCTAATAAACAAATTACATAAATTAATTTCCCATAAACTGACCCAACTCGGTTCCATTTCAGCTCCTAAATCATTAAAAAAATGAAGAATGAACACAGAACAAGCGCCAAAAAAACAAAAGGCGATGAAAAACCAAATGGGTAAGAAGAAGAAAAGGCGAATAGGGTACCAGGAGGGATGGAATCGAGGAGTTTAAGAGCCAGATCAGATTCGTTTTGCAATCTGGTGACTTTGTCATCTGGGTTTTGAGGAAAAAATGTTTCTTTGATTTCGTACAGATTGTCTGCAGCTTTTCTGGCTCTTTCCCACAAATCTTCTTCTGGTTTTTCTGCTGATACATCACTCATTTTAGTGACTGTGTAAAGAAAATGGCAAGAGAAGGGTTTTAAAGAGTGATTACTTGGTGAATTCTGGGTGTGCTTTAAGACTTCAGAGAACCATAAAATATTTGCTTAAGTTGAGCGAAACGGTGTCGTATGGAAGCCAAACTCAAATTTGTTGTATCATTTATGTTTGTTTTTAATAAGCTATTTTTGAATTATTTTATTGCAATATTTTAATTTTTTTATCAAAGTTATAACAATAATAATAATAATTTTATATATTTCAAATATTATTCGAAATTTTAATCCCGAATATACATATAATGAGTTAAAGTAGTAAATGATAAATGATTTTTTCAATGGAAGGTAAATTTTGAAACGTTTTTCTCAATTATTATTCTAAACTTTCTTTTTTTTTCTTTAGGTGGTTGGGGTGTTTGGACCAGCTAAATAAGTCAGATAAGTTACAAATATGGTAGGTGATCACTTGATGGGACTCGAATACAAAGATAAACTAAATTTTTTAATTTTGATCATCAGGATGTCCGATGTTAGTTTACGCACATCTTACTTAATCTTCGAGGTCTATTGAACACCCTACAAACTTAATAAGCTAGAGTATATAAATAAACATATTTTCCAAAAGAAAATCGAGGAATTTCTTTAGAACTTTATTTTGGTTGAGAAATTAATTATTTATTTTAAAAAATAAAGAAATAATTAATATATTTAAGATAATTATTTCCTTATAAAATAAAGTGAGCACAATTTCATGATCATCTCCTTCTTTCTCGTCTTTAAAGGTTACAAATGGTGCCAAATGACACACCATATCTCGGCACATAAAGAACTTTATGAGAACTGTTTAAATCACCAAGCTCGTGAAGTCTGTTACAATATTCTGTCATGGCTCTCATCACCAATCTTAAAATTTATATATATTTTGCAGCACAAAACTTCAACTTCATTGCAACTCATCCATGGAGAAACTTGCCCTTCTAACACTCATTATTTTCAGTTCTTTGTGCTCTTTAATCTCTTCAGTGAATAATGTACCAGCAATCTTTACATTTGGGGACTCCATTTTCGATGCCGGAAACAATCACTTCAACAAGAACTGCACTGCACAGGCTGATTTCCCTCCTTATGGTTCAAGTTTTTTTCATCATCCCACCGGGAGGTTCACTAATGGCAGAACGGTTGCAGACTTCATTTGTTAGTACTACTAATTAACAGTTATGTAATTTGTCTGATTAGTTTTTTTTTCAATGGATTTTGTTTTGAGTGTTTTCTCAAATATTGGCAGCACAATTCATTGGGATTGAGTTACAAAAGCCATATCTGGAAGTGCATATTGCAGTCACAAATGGAAGTAGAAAAGATTACCCAAAAAATGGCCTCAACTTTGCCAGTGCTGGCAGTGGTGTTCTGCAGGAAACAAATAAGGACTGGGTAAGAAAATTTGCCATAGGAGTGATTCCGAGCTTGATAAAACAAAGATTTTGAACATCTAAGCCTACTATCATAGTTGGTTACTCTATATAATATTGGATAAATCTGCTCAATCTGTCTTTCGTAATTCCAGAATCAATAATTTAATATCTTTAATCAGAATACAGTGACACAAGTTAACAATGTAGCAACGTAATATTTACATCAGGAAAGGACATAATTTTGATTATGTAACAACAATAAAGTGCATTACTTTTCTGCAAGAAAATGACAGTAGAAGATCATGTATGACACAAGGCTGAAGGCCACCACATCCCCATGAATCAAAAGCTAAGGCAAAACAGATTGGTAAAAGCAAAAACAAAATCGTAACCGCAGTATATCATGAGTTACATATTTGAATACGGAAGTTCCTTATTTTTGCTTCCATTTTGATGTCATCACAGGGAGTCACATCTATCCAAGACCAGTTAAAGCAATTCAAGGCACTGGTGAAGCAAAACAAGATCGACAAAACCCTTGTAGAAACCTCTCTTTTTCTATTCGAGTCAGGCTCCAATGACATCTTCAGCTACTTTGCATCTTTTGGTCCCCCAACACTGAGCCCAGATGCATATGTTCAAGCCATGTTAACAGAAGTTTCCAAGCTGATCGAGGAGATTTACAGCCTTGGTGCTCGCCGCATTGCGCTGTTTTCGCTCGGACCCGTTGGCTGTGTCCCTGCCAGGGCACTCTTGCCTGACGCGCCAGTTGAAAGTTGCTACGGGGAGATGAATGTGATGGCTGAGAGTTACAATAAGGGATTGGAGAGTCTAGTGAATGATGTCGCCAGAAAATACCCAGGTGGAGTTGCTGTTTATGGAGATGTTTATGACCTTGTTCAGCGATTTAGAGCCATTCCTTCACGCTATGGTAATCTTTTTATGCATCTTCTTCAATTTGAAAACTTCAAATTTTAGCTTCATTTAGACTTCATGATTTCAAGACAGTGATATGAAGAATGTCTTCTGTGATCAATCAATTATGTAATATGTGTTGCATCCACCAAGGGCCTCCCAGAACTTTCTGGAGTTAGTGTAGCATTGCGACTCCCATTGCGTCGCAATACACTAACATGCCATGCATGATGCCGCATAGTCGCGTCAGGATAACATCGCTATAGATTTATTTTGTTTTTCCTCGACTGATAACCCCGTAATGGCACAGGTTTTTCTGATGTTTCAACTGCATGTTGTGGAAATGGGACTCTTGGAGGATTGCTGCAATGTGGGGAAAAAGGCTACAAAATCTGTAACAATCCTAAAGCATTCCTGTTCTGGGATTATTTCCACCCAACAGAACACGCTTACAAGATCATTTCCAAGGCCTTGTGGGCAGGAAAGAGTTCAAGCATCAGGCCAGTGAACTTGAAGACTCTAGTCAACATTACCTTTAGTCAAGTTTGAGAACATTATCTTGAAGAATTTAATGTTCATCAGAAGATAGATTAATGCACTACTTATTTTAGCACGTGTCAGTTTATATTGCTGTTAATTTGTCAATGGAGTTAGGGATATGGTTGGACTTTAATTAAGGGAGTTATTAATTATGAATACTCTGTTGTTTTTCAACTCAAATTCAATTTTAAATAATTATATTCATAGTTATACTCCTAATTTTGAATATTGTTAGATTAGTTTCCACTGATTAATTGGCTGCTCAATTTTCGCCTAACAAAAAGGTACTTCAACGACCCCAATTAGGCAATTATCCATTGTATAAATCTAAGTTTGATACCTATACATATATAGTCCTCAAAAATCTTGATTTGTCCATGACATTAATTAAAATGCAATAACAAGTTCAATTTAATTATAACCACTAATAATGTGGTTTGGATAGTAAGACTTTAGCCTTCTAGGATCTTGTGTTCAAGTTCCACAAAGTGGTCATCTATCACATTTGTGATTTATCTTATCCATTAGGTTGATAGAATATTTAATGAATCTTAGAGATTAGTTGATATGCGTTCAAGCTGACCCAAACACCCTAGTTATTAAAAAAGAAAAATGCAATAACAAACCGTTTACCATAGCAAATTAATGAAACCAATCTTTTTTCTTTCTTTCTTGAAAAAACAAACATTCATAAGGGAAAACCTATATTTATCTTATAATATCAATTTGATAACGTTATCACGTCGGTGAAGTAAACCAGAAGAAGCCTTCGAGAGGAGGATTGTCATTTTGTTGGTCCAAATCCGGATGAACCTTACAACTTAGATCCAACTCAAAAGCACAAAACCATTATCAGCTAGAAGTTATATCCAATCCCATCCCATCCCATCCCATGCCCATTGGCCACAGCCCCGCCAAAGGGATGGCCACACTTTATATCAAATAAAACACAACATTATAACAATAGCTCACCTTTTGGTGCCTTCTGGTTGCTTCACAAATTAAGCAAATTCAGGTAGTGATTAATTAATTAATTAATCAATCTGGTATTGAGAAGACTCCTCAATTAATAACTTTTCTTAATTCACTTCATTAAGATTATTATGGAATTAATTGGTGGGTTATACTTTTCATTACTTTTGACAAATGACATGTTATCTATTCAGCCAACCCCTCCCCCCTATGTTTACGGCTTTAATTTTGGTGAGGGTGGGCCTGTTTGTAATGTCCTTTGATTTTTATATGCACATCAAAATTTTTAGCGCTCCTTATAGCCACCAAAATTAGTGAATCTTGCTAATAGGGCCCTTTTGTTACGACCTTGTTATCGATTCATCAGACAATATTTTTATTAATTTAATATATATTAAATTATTATGAAGAAAGACACATGGGATTTATATATTTATATAAACATATGACATCTACTTTAATTAAAGTATATAGTACTGATAGGATACTGTAATGTTTTATACGAGGAAACAGAACCTTCAAGAAAAATGATAATTCAGTGTTTAAGAGAAGAGAACTTTATTGATTATTGCTTGTCAAACCCTAATTGTTTTAGGCTTTATATAGTCTTGCACATTATTTTAATTATTCTAATTCTAAGGATATTCTAATTATTCTAATTAAATAATAACATAATTATAAAAGGACTTTACCTAATTATCTTAATTCTATGCTAATTCTAAAAGAATCTAAACATTTTCTTCCCCTTCGGTTCAACCTTGTCCTCAAGCTTGTAAGGTACTGCACAATCAACAACAGTTATCTCGGTTTGTCCTCGCATTTCATTGTCGCCATTGCCAGTAGGGGAACCTCATCGTCATCCTCCTCCATCAGCAAGAGAAAGAACTTAACCCTATATTGATGCCCAGAGCGAAAGCGCTCATCACAGTTATAGCACAACCCTTTGGCATGCCATTCTTGCATCTATGTCGTCGTGAATCTCTTAGGAAGCAAGGAATCTGATTGGTTTGGAGTTGGCAAGAGGCCCTACTGCTCTGAAGATATATTAGAAGCTGATTTATTAGAGTCCCAAGATATGGGGTCGATAGATCATAAGTATAGGTGAAGATCTAGTTTTAGCCTTGATATGAAGCAACTCAGAAGGAACACACCTTAAAGGCTAGAAACTTGATTAGAGACCTCAAATTTTGTCTTATAAGCAACGATATATACTGCTTGAGTAAGTTTGGCCAATTGCCCCTGGTAATCCACAAATTCCGAAAGCCCAAAACGAATATTTAAACCCTGCAAGAAAGAACACCAAGAACGAATCTACCCATTTGAATGGATCCAACGATACCATGAGAGAGCTAGCCCATCCATGTGGAAGGAAGAGATTGTCAACCGTTGCTCGGTAAAGGTATTATGGTAATCAAAGAATTGTTCAGCTTAAAATATCTAGCCATGCGGATCCATGCCATCAAAGCGTGGCATCTCCAATCTGAAAAGCTTAAAAGGTGGGGCAAATCTAGAAGAATGCGAACTTGAGCCGAGTGAAGGAGTGCCATCACCACTAGCATAACTATCTTCTGTCATCGGTCTTGCTCTAGTTTGGCGTTAATAGCAGTCAATTTTAGTGTAATAGCCTTCAAAAGACCATCTAGGGAGTCAAGTTGGCCTCTTGAGCATCCAACTTGGCCCTTATTGAGATATTTGTTCATCCAAAGCCTTTATCCGAGAAGGGTCAACCATGGAAAGGAAAAGAGAGCACCAATTGATAGGATAGTGATTCTGTTTTATATGAGGAAACAGAACCTCTAAAAAGAATGATAATTCAGAGTTTAAAGGGGGAGAACTTTATTGATTATTGTTTGCTAAACCGTAATTGTTTTATACTTTATATAACCTTGCACATTATTCTAATTCTAAAAGGACTCTAATTGCCTAATTAATTCGAATCTAATTGCCTAATTCTAAATATATTCTAATTGTTCTAATTAGATAATAGCATAATTATAGAAGGAATTAACCTAATTATCCTATGTCTATCCTAATTCTAAAAGAATCCTAACATATAGTCATACGAACTTTTAGGTTTTTGTCAAATTCTTTTATAAAGAAATATCTCCCAATCCCATTTTTAACAAGATTAATGTAAATTTGCAATCCACCTCCACTTAAATCGCAGATATTCAGATAGGGAATCAAACTTGAGACCATATATTTATCCACACTATCTACAGCTCGTCCTAACCATCTAGGTTATCCACCGATGTGTATGATCTCAATACCCACTCACAAGCAAGGCATATCAATTAATTTAGGACCCATAACTAAATTCCATTTCTTAATGTTATATCAAAAAACTTCTAAACCATCCTTTGAAGATTTGATTTAGTATATCTAAATATGCTAGACAAAGCAAAAGATTCTATTATTTAATTTTAAAAAAAAAAACACATTTTTGTTGTTTTCTAAATACAAAATATTATACTTGATTTTCTGTTTAAATAATAACAACGAGGTTCACATTTTAAAAAATATAGACGTTCACAACTAACAATGTTCATGTTTTAAAAACCTAAACATACAAAGTTGGGAGCATCTCAATTAATTCGAGATATACAAAATTAAGATGCTAACTTTATATGTGTAGCATTAACCTTTTAACAAATACAAATATTCAAAAACAAAAAAAAAGGAAATATATTTTATCTCGAGACCATATTTAATCATAGTTGGATCCGTATTTGTAAAATATCAATGAATCTAACAGTATTCAAATACGATCCTGCTATAGTCTTACAGTATTAAGCCGAACCTAATTCAAAGAATTTTCGTGTGTATATATATATAATATAAAGTATCTATTGATTTAGTATATCTGAAGATGCCCGAGAAAGGCCACCATCTTTGACTTCATATTCCTCGTCGATCTCTTTGAGAAAAGAAGTCTTCAAAGAGAAACAAACATCATCCCATGTAGCCAGCCATGTCACATGATATCCCAAACCTGATAATATTTAATCAAAATTCAAACCAGCTAGCCATCTTCAATCTCCCTTTCTCAGGTCCCACACGCATTTACAGCGAGCTTTGTCCTCATAGAATAGGGGTTCCTAACAATTTCCTTCTCGACGTTTGAGGAAAATTACGAATACACCCAAGAGTTTCAGAAAGAAACAAATGCATCTAAAAAATGATTACTTTGCTGTGTAAAGACCATAATACCCTTTGTCTAATTAATATTCTTTTGGTTTTTATTTCTTCAATTTTTATTTTGAATATATAAAAATTGAAAAGAATCTGAAACTTTGTTCAAAAAGACTTTAATATCCTCAGTCTTATTATATTTCACTTTTCTATTTTATTTTATTTTTCATTCTTTTAGTGTGTAATTTAATTAGATTTTAATGTTTATAATTAAAATAAAGGGTATTATAGTCTTTATCTGTGATAAAACAATCAACTTGTTGGGTACATTTGTCACTTTTTTCAAACATTGAGGACGAAACTGTCATAACCTCATGACATCTCACCTGCCCAGTCTTTTCTCTGTAAAATCCTCACGCGTCTTCACATATGAATAGTCGTCTTCTTTCCACACAATCTATATATATAATTTATAAACATTCAAAGTCTTCACATTCTCATAAAACTAACAAAAAAACCCAGGAAATTCTTCACCAGTAAAGCTCTTAATTTTCTCTCGTTTTCTCGACATGGGTAACTACGTTTCTTGTACGTTAGGTTCAAGCCCGTTAATGAAGAGCAACAAGGCGGCCAGAGTGGTGCTCCCCGGCGGAGAAGTCAGGCAGTTTCGGCAAATAATAAAAGCTGCAGAGTTAATGCTGGAGTGTCCGAATTTTTTCCTTGTAAATTCCAAGTCTCTTCACATTGGAAGAAGATTTTCTGCGCTCGGCGCCGACGAAGAGCTCGAGTTTGGAAACGTTTACATTATGTTTCCAATGAAGAGAGTAAATTCTGTGGTTTCTGCCACCGATATGGCGGCTTTCTTCATGGCGGCGAACTCTGCCGCGAAGAGGATATCCGGTGGCGGAAATATTAGAGTTTCGCCGGAATCTGGAATTGAGATGTCGTGTTCATCGTCGCCGAGGTTGAGTTTGGAGGGCGTTGAGGAAGAGTTTTCGGAGTTTAAGTATAGATTAGTTGTGTGTAGGTCGAGGAAGCCACTGTTGGAAACGATAAAGGAAGAGCCGATTTATTCAAGGTAAGAGATGAAGAGATTAATCAGTAATTTAATTATTATAATTTTTTTTCTTTTTATTTTAATTAATATTAATTGTGATTATAAAAATGATTAATCATGTTTAGAGTATTATTTGATAATCAATGTAATTGTGATTACTGACTATATTTGATCTCCATTATGTACAATTGATGAACCAACAAAATATATATATATGGATGGGTTTTATTTCGTATCAAAATTGGATTAGTGTAATCACCCTTAGGTGATCGAATGGTTGAATAGAGATTCTAAGAGTATTATTTAAGAGGTTTTGTGTTCGATTCACTTCAATTGCTAATAGAGGTAATCACTGTAAGTTTACCTGACTGTTAACTTCTGATCCCAGAGATTAATTGAGGTACGTGGAAGTTAGTTCAGATACCTTGGTCATCGGAAAAGCAGAAACAGCAATGATGCTCTGATTGGTGGAATGGTGCATATTTGGGCTGAAATATTGGCCCACTTTATTCATATGGGCTCTACATATTCCAGTTCATTAATTTTAGGCCCTTGAGATCCGGTTCATTTGTCTTGCCAAAACCGCAATGATTGTCGGTCACTTTTTTATCAATTGAACGACAACAATCCATTCACACTTTTGATTTTATGTCTTCGCTTTCTCACTTTGATACCTCACTTAAAGTTTATAAAATAGACCTTGTATGTTAATTCCCCGACATCCCCATCACGAGGTCAGGAACGGAGGCGAGGAATGGGGTCCCCGGCCCCAACCCACCCCGTGTCCATCCCTACGTAACTTTAAGATATTATACCTCATATTATTTTTGTTGATGACTCTTTTAATACCCTTTAATCAATTAAATGTTTTTTCTTCTCTAATCGATCCATATCAAGAGAGATAATAATACTTGGTACAAAATGTTTTTCATAATTAAAACAATACATATTAATCATCGCTGAATTGAAATCTCGAAACTAATGATATACTCGTAGAACCAATGAGATACCATTTCAAATGTGTTAACTCATAATATCCCATCCCATCAAAGTTGGAGCTGGTGCACAGTAATTGATGCTCCCCAAAACCAGGTAATTGATGCCACTTGCTTACCATTGAATTGAAGGTTAAATTAAATTAATTATGAAACTCAAGACTAGAAATTCAACACCTATTCTCTATTATATTATATATTATTGCATTAAAAAATAATTAATTTTACATAATCATCTTAAATGTTGTGTTAGTGGCTTCACAAGATCTTCAACATTTATCCCCTCCCTTTCCCCTCCCAAATTTTCCCATCATTTCCTCTAAGTTTATCAACTCTCATCGCGCTGGATAACTCAACTTGTGACACCTGTCACCCTCCAAAATTTCTTAGATTTTCAAAACCCTAGCTAATTTCAAAGAATTGAAAATAACTTTCAAATATTTCGACTAATTTGCTTGCTACAAGTAATTCTGATCTGTTAGGGTTTATCTGAACGGTCAGGTCCGTAGATTATCTCGCTTTCCAATTATCATAAAGTTTTTATAAATTTTTAGATATTCGTTTCATTTTCAGAATATTACAAGGTTCGATGAAGGTTACGGTTTTGAACTTGAATTTGTAAAACGTGGTCGTGGTCCGTGGAGAATTTCTGGATTATTTATTAAAGTTAGATCACATATTAATAAATACAAAATCTAGGGTTCTGCAAAAAAATTTATAGAACTCAAAAATTATGAACAAGGAAGGAGACAAGGAAGATGAAAAAAGAACCAGTAAGAAAAACAAACCCAACTGCACCAATAGCGGAACCCAGAATCTGGATCGATTCAGAAATCATTTGATCAATAAATTTTTTATGTTTAAGATGATGATCATAATAAACTCGTTGATAATTCCAGCCATTTTGGTGTCTACAACCGCAGTAGTGCTGCTGGTTCAAGCTCAAACTCTCCTTCTTCTTCACTTCATCTATTCTCCTTCTCAACACACTCAAATTCGCCTCCACCATATCCGCAGACTTCCCTGTCAAATAAAAAATAATCAGTCACCATATCCACCATGTCCGCAGACCTGAAATAATATTATATACATATATGTACATGTATATGTGTATGTATTTTTGTATTTATACCTTCGTCTTTGAAGTTTTGAGATCTCACCTGGGGGTGCTTGAGTTTTAGTGATGGTTTGTGTTTATTGAGAGATGGAGAAGGAGGAGGAGAAGTAGTTATATTCAAACTACAAGAAGTAGTTGGAAGAGAGGAAGCCATATATGGAAGAAGAGAGCTGATAAATTTAGGTTGTAATTCTTGGTTTTTTTATAGACAGAATATATGAGAGATTACCAACCCTAATTATGTAATATTAATTATATTGTTGTAAACAATGATATAGTGACAGTTGTTCCCTAGTCTTTTGCAATTGCGAATCTAGGTAGCTTTCCTATCGGCAACCTCCATTGGTACATTTTGCATTTTCTTCGTCTTTCTTGCATATGTCTGTATTTATTTAAATTATAATCCGGTTATACATATTAGTTCTTTGACTCTATTGCAGATGTCTGTATTTATTTAAAATATAATCTATTCGGATAAGAGTTTTAGTTACTATCATTATTAATAAATAACAACCGATGAGAAATTTAAATTCAAAATCTCTTAAATAATATATTTAAGAATCTTAATCGAACCAGTTTTTTTTATTTTAAATATTATATTACTGAATGTAGGATGAATATCATGAGAAATTTGTAAATATATATGCCGATCACCTAGAGAGGATAAAATAAACATCTTTTATTTCAAGAATTTCAAATGTCTAATGAACCTCTTAATAAGAATTCGAGTCTAGATAAAAGATGGACCATCTACCATAGGATCTTGCAGGATTCCCAAGAAAGTTTTCGATTTTTTCTAAAAGCAGTTCATCTACTTTCAAGTTCCGTGAATAGTCGGGTATTTTGCTAATTATTAATTAATCAAACGGGATTTTGTCTTTACTTCTGCTTTTCACATGCAATCACCACTTGGCCAAACTTTCATTGGTGAAGTAAGTCGTACAATTAATTTAAAATGATTAACTACTGATCATAAATTAATTATTTAGGGTTTTCAAGTACAGGTGTCGGATCTACATTCAACCAAGCATGCATGAGACAAGAAACTTGGATTTTAATTTATTAATTAACTCACCCTAAATAATTTGCAGAATCCGATACATTGTTTTGAGAGATTTTCAGCTTATAATTAACCTATTTTATATAAATAAATATAAATATAATTATAATATTTTAAGTTTTTTAAGTGACAAATGTCGAATTGAGAATGAACCAAGCATGCATGAGTTTAGCTACGTAATTAGCGTAAGCTAATTGAGTCCTTAAGTGTCCTTCTCATCGATCTTCTCACTTGTCTATAGGGACCATTAGTACAGTTTTTTGAATTTAAACCTTATAATTAAATAATAAATTATGTATAATAATTAAATTATACCTTAATTTAATCTATTTATCTTTTAATATTTATTACCGTTAACGGTTAAACGTCTACATTAAAGAATTCTTAAAGAATATTTATTAACGTTAATGGTTAAATGTCCACAGTGAAGAATTCTTAAAGATCGTATATTTAAATATGTTCTATATTAGTAAAAAACAATACATATTTTTCAAAAAATATCAAGACTTAATAGTGTATATATAAGTGTTTAAATTTTTAATCCCAATTAAAACATGTTTTTGTTTAGTTCATGAATCAAACAAACATGACCTACTCAAAAGATAAAGAAAAAAACGTTTTTTATTATCTATTTTAATTATTTACATAATTAAATTGAGAATAATGAAAGATGCCCAGAAAGTTGATTAATTAATTAAGTTAATAATAATAATAATAATTACTATTATTATTATTATTATTATTATTCGAATAAATGCTTGATTGATTGCTTACTTTAAATTATTTGTCAAAAGGTTGTGATGGCTTTTATAAATGGTAGGTAAACCTATTTTTTTATCATTTAAATTGTCTATATTATTGATAAGTACATATTATATTATGGAATAATTAATTCTTAATCCAACAAATTAAGGCAAAGGATTAAAGCAATGTAGTAGGCCAATTAATTAAAACATACAAAATTAAAGAATTTCCAAAAAGAAGAATATTAACTAAAAATTAGAAATATAAATATTTATTTAAAAAATTATATAAATTTTCAAGTTGTATTTCAATACTGTTAATATATGAAAATGTATTCGGTATCACATTAAAAATTACAAAACAATAATAAAACATATTTAAAAAAAAAATCGAAAATATTTCAATTCATTTTAATCAAACCCATTTTCATAAAAGTTCTTGGATTATTTTTGTTTTGAAAAACACTTTATATTTTTCATATTTTCAGAAACTACTATATTAGATTTTCAGTATATGGAAGCATCATCAATGAGTAGTTAGGTGAGAAAGATACTTTAGTGTTTTATTTAATGGTTTTTTTTTTTCTTTTTTCTTCTTTATAAAAGAAGTGGCAAGTGTTGGCATGAACATAGCCAGTTGAAGTTAGACACTTGGCAAACACCCACAGAAGTTTACAAGACGTGGCAAACACCCACAAGAGTATATTTATGTGTGTGTGTGTGTGTGTGTGTGTACATAGACCAGAATCCCTATCTTGTGAAAACAGAACTGCCTTTTTATAGATTGCAAACCTGAAACCACATTAGCTTTTAAAATACTTCAGGATCTTTTAGGAATTTATTTTATTAATTTAATAGATTTTTACTTTCATTGGACACTACCCATAATCATAAACAGACTCATTATATAGTTCCATGAGATAATATACCAATAATATCACAAATTGATGCATGCATAATACAGTATAGATATTTGATTTATCCATCAACATTATATCTAGAGCTCCTAATAAACCCTTTTTGAACCCTAAACCGCTCCTAATAAACCCTTTTTAAACCCTAAACCTTCGGGTGTAAACCACACTGTTGACCATTTAGCTAACCCCTTCAGCAATTTACGAGTACATTGTTATTATATACTCCATGCATGACCGATTAGTTTTAAACACACTCACGATTATTACAAATTAATGCATATATACTACATCACCGGAGTTAAAAAAATAGAGTATCTATCAAACCCCTGAACTCCAGACCTTGTAAGAGCGAACAACTCAAGGGGTTACACTATTCTATATTCTATGTGTGGTTGAATATGTTTGAAGGCACTCAAGATTATCATAAAATATTATGATAATTTCAAGAGATTTGTTATACAATATGAAAACATCGGGTGTGAATGAAGTTAAAAAGTATCAAAAAGTCGTCTATGATATGATAGTACCCCATAAACCCATCACTTAATTGGTTTAGAGATTCTTTTCCTCCTAAATGTTTGCAAGAAAAGAGCACTAGTAAGATATGTATCAATGCATAATGGGGAGCATGGGGAGACCTAATCCATGTAATCAAGTATGGCAATTAATTTAGGGAGTTTGGAAAGAGATGGAAGTACACCTGTAAATTAATAATATAATTATCATAAAGGAGATGAAAAAGCATGTACATTAATCATCTAAGTGCACTTTTTAAAAGAGGAAACTACCAAATACCAAGTGTAAAGATGGGTACTTTTTGCTACAATGTCTAGTAGTTAGGCAGATAAAGTTTGTGGTAATAGTGGATTAGATTAGACTGATCAAATATCTTCGTCACTCCATCAGTGAATCATGTAGTTGAGTGCATGTATTAGTAGCCTGATACCTTATCTCATTGCTCATATAAAACTATTATGTTATCGGCCAATAATAACACTACTTGATCATTGATAGCCATTAAATTATCACTATTTAACTCTAATTTTCTGATTGAAAACTACAAAAAGGAAAATACTACACTTACCCATTTTGCAGACCTGACTCCCCCATCCAACTGACGTCGAGTACAACATGAGAAGTCCCCATACCGACCACATCATGTCAGACAGGATGGGGAGCTAGTCAGCGAAATCGGTATGTGTAATCTTGCTCCTACATAAATGAAGTAAAATTGTATATACAAATTCTTAGCAGAAACTAAGTTTATACAACTTTTGGGATATAGAATATCATTTATATCCTAAAAGAGTTTCGACTAATCGTCAATTTTAAAGCTCAAGTGAACAAGCAAAACCAGTCCTTACTCCTCGATTTAGAGTTTGTACTTAGGAAAATCCTATCCACTTCCAAGTCTCCATCAAAATTATACATGATTTTTTTATTTTTGTCTTGAGGCAAGTTACAGACATACACAAAATGACTACTACATTTTTATTGACAGCAGCATTCCTAACTAGGAGGAGAGCATATGCACAGAAAAAGCAGAGAAGCTAATCCTACGCCCTCGCCAACGAGAATATGGCACTACGAGTTAACGCAACTTACATGGAAGTCAATGGTCTTTACATATAAACATCATACTAGAACAAATGTCAGTCACTGGTCAGATGTCCATGTCATAAAAAATTTCTCCATCTTCCTCGTGACAGAACTCATCCATAACAAATCCATCCGACACTAAATTACTGCAAGAAGAATCAGTGGTGAGACCAATGAATAGTCATTTTACAGTTCAGGAGACGCTTAAGTAAATAAACATTTTTACCCACCTCAAGCAAGAAAAACGGAAGCTCACAACTCGCTTTAGTTTTCTATTGTAGAAAAAGAAACTGAAGGACCATCTGAATAAAACAGAAGGGTATTATTAGCCATATATATCGTGACAAGAACACAAATTATGTGATGTATGATAATAATATTCGTACTTACATCGCTCCTTTCTCAAGAAATGGGTCTGCATCAGAATCTGGATTGTAACTGTAAATTTCGCACTCAGGTAGTCTTACAACCTGCATCACTAGGTGTCAAAAAGTGTCTATGCACATTTTGCATTCAGTTTTTGAAGTAAAGTTCACCTCATCCAGAGCCTTGTATAATGTTTCTAGCAGGGAACAGCCACTATCCGCCTCAGCCCATTCCTGTTCAATTTTTTAAGCAAGTAACCAAAGTCAAGGGTCAAGGAGGTATTTGACAATCATAAAACGTTTTTTAAAAAAAAAAAAAATATATATATATATATATATGTATGAAAAAGAAACATGAATATTGATAAAAGGAAAATAGTAGGAACAGATATTTGGAACAGTGAAACCATTTATTATGTCATTAATTACAGATAGTGCGCCAGTCCATCATTATCTGCACTACTTAAATCACATCAAGAGTACAATTGTACAGGAAGGCCGAGCATTAAATGTGCCTTCACTTTACTCCTACTAGTTCAGCAATCAATAAAATAGCACCAAATATTATTCCAGACAAAAGAGCTTTAAGGTGCAAAATTTCCCAGATTCAAGCAAACGCAGAACAGAACACTATACAGAAAAATTACCAGTAAGCTGGTTTGGCGATCTATTACTGGATGGAGAGACATTTACAGATAAGAAGATGCTACAGAGAGGAACAGTTATGGCCATGTGATTCCTGTCATGAAAGAAAATGCAATTTTCTACTTTCTCACATGCATGTGCCTCTTAAAGAGAGATATCTATACTATCCATATCTGGAAAGTAGTATAATTTAATACCTTTGAAGCTTCAAACATGTAAGTCTCAAAAATCTGCTTAAAAATGTCCCAGCTTTCCTCTGTGAAGAACTGGTGAGCTTTCACTGCACTAAAAACCCAAAAAAATCCAAAACAATATCGTAATATGAGGAAATAGCAATAAAAGACACATAGATGCATCATCGGAGTGCAATTCATAGTACTAATATGAATTGTAATGCCAATATGAGTTGCATCAGACACGAAACAACAAAATGAATGTCCAGGATTAGACTTGGGAAATGGAGAGACTTGAACTCTCAGCTCCTCCTAGAGCAACAGTTTTATAAACTGTCTGTCACCTTTTGACAACACTCCCAATGCAATTAAAAGAGGATCATATAGTGGGTTGCCATGTCGCCCAATAAGCTGACAGTGACATTACCCATGATCCTCCTTTATAAGCTCTCTGTAAACGGATACCTGAAGTCGAAATCCGGATACATGTGACTGAGTGTAAGAACCAAGTAGATCAATGTCTTCCGGCTGGAATTAGAATAGACAAAAACCAGTTAAATAGACATACACACAATCCACACTTTATAAACCTATTTGGGCAGCATGCACAACCTGGATCTGCTCAACAGGTATTCTGCTGGTGAAGAGGAGTCAGTGTCTGATGATTTGCCAAGATAATCAAGGATCTGAAGTAAAAAGGGGTATGCCAAACAAGGGAGGGGAAGAAAAAGAAAAAGAAAAAGAAAAAGGAAGAGAAAAAAGAGACACATGCATTACAACTCGATTATTCAAATCAGGAAAAGGTATCAAGATTATTAAGCACAAAGAATAACAATTATTCAATATGCAGTCCAGAGCTTTTTAATTTAAGTAAATAGCAACATATGCATAATTAAAATTGAGATGTGCAAAGAGTAACTATCCTGTTCTCACACTCCACTACTCTAGATTTGGGTAACACATCAGATGTGAAAGAATAAGATAAAAAGAATGTAATGCACACAGTAAAAATATGAATGACGAAAAAAGTATTAGTGGAGCAACATTAAAGGAAAAGGTTACTAACATTTAAATATGTATACATAGTCAGACTCAAAAGTTTATAGCAAACCACGTGGGCAAAATGTCAAATGATGCTTCATTTACCTCGTGCTCCAAGCTGAGAGATAGCCTCTTATCTGTTCCCGTATGCTTGCCTAAAAAGAGACAATAAACTAAGTTTCCCTTTGATAAATAGAAAAAAAACAGATCCAGAACTCCTCATTTTATACTTACAAGAGTATGCTTCAAGATTTCCTTTGATAGTACGTTCTCCGAGATTCAAATGATTCAAGAAATCATTTATCCTGGAAAAATTAAGATTACAGAACAACTTCATTTCAAAATCAAATTCAACAGAGCAAATTACATCTTAGACGCTGAAAAGTTTACCGGTCAAGAGGCGTGTACTCTAAGAACTTCATGATACGCCTATTAAAAAAAATACAGCAATTCCAATAAAAACAAAAGAAAATGCGCTGCGAACACACGCTATATGCTGTAATGTGAAAACGAAACAAAAATTACACAGAATCAACGACAAATTATTTATTTTCAATCAAATTTAAAGGCTAATACTATTCAAATGCATAAATTTGCTTAATATACACGTATACCGTAACTTAAAAGCCAATTCAGACGAAGAATTCACCATTAAAGAAACAAAATCGAACAAAAACGTAAACAAAGTCAAATTGTCTCAGAAACGGAAACGACGAAACAGAAACAAAAAGAACAAAAACGAAAGCACGGGGATCAGTGCAATTACCTTGAATAGGAATTGGAATTGAAGAGTTTCGAGTTCGATAGCGTTGATTCGGTGATTTTAAATCGATTTATAGCGTTGATTTGAAAATGAAATCTGAGGAACCCTAAATTCGAATATTCGAATTGGTACTGTCTGAACGGGGATTAATTATTACATTGATTTATTTTTATTGGATTTTATAGGCGACTTTAGAATTTTGAATTTGGTAGATTGGGCGTTTTGGGCTGGATCAGGCCCATTTCGGCCCATTTGTCATCAACGATAAGTAAATGGATTAACTGAAAACGAACTTTTAATTTTAGTGACTCAATGAGTCCCTAACCTTTAGACTTTATCACAAAGATCCCTATAGTTTTAAAAACATTAATTTTAATGCCATCGTTCGTTTGAAAAACATGTAAATGGTGATAGTGAAATTTACCAACTAGATAATATTTTTTTTTAAATAAAACAATAAAAAGGTAATAGAATCTTAGAATTGGATTACACGCATACACGTGGCACTAACAAAAATTAATTTAAAAAGCCAACAGAGAAGCATTTTTTCCTAATCCACCGAACTCGGACCCACTTTTTACCCGAACTCACCAACCCGACACACCCAACAGATCCACATAACGGAAAGTCGGAAACAAATAAAAAACAAGACATAAAAAAAAAAAAAAAAGGAAATTAAAAACACAAAAAACTGTTTCACTGTTTCGCGAAACGGATCCAATCGAATCGACGAAAAATTCTCTCAGTTTTTCATGTCTCACAAGCTGTTGATTCTGATTCTGAATCTTCTGTTGCTGCTGCTTTTGTTCGTCTGCGAAGCGGTGGCGTTTTCGGCGGGATCGCGGTCGATCCTCCGATCAATTAGTAACGGAGAGGTCGATAACGCCGTCGACTTGAACGTTACGAACTTCGACGCCGTCCTCAGAGATACTCCGGCTACTTATGCCGTCGTTGAGTTCTTCGCTCATTGGTTAGTAACGTTTGAATATAATTTAATTAATTAATTAGTTAATCTGATGATGATATTGTTATTATGTTTATTTATCGGATTATTCACTGTAAACTATTTATGATGAAATTAATCACTTTAGTTATACCGTGTTTGGCTTTAATTGGTTGAGAACAAGAGTGAAACTGTGGTAACTAAAAAGTAATAGGAAGGTGCTTAATTGATTAGCATTGACTGCATTTGGTTGGTCTATGTTGGCTCGTGAGTAGTGGGTTGACTTTTCGTAAGAGCTTAAGTGGTTAAATTGGTGGTTCATTTGGGATGTTAGTACATTCGGATATTGGAAGAACGTGACATGAAGAATGTGACATGTGGTGGATTTTGGGTTGTTGGGGGGCATTTTTTAGTTGCATTCAAACCCTTTTTTTTGTTTTTATGAATCCGAAACTGAATAAAAGCGCATGCGGTGGTGTCCCGTTTATGCGATGAAACGTCATATTTGTAAAATCTATGTTGGATTGTAACAAATGAGGCTGTAAAGTCAGTAGAAAGTAGTGTTTAGCTAAAAAAATTCTTCTCCTTTCCAAAATTATAGTATGACGTATTTTGATTATTTTTATCTTGGGAAACTATTTGAAAATTCTCTTATGAGGCATTTCCGAAGATTTTGTTATACAAAATTCAGTTTGTTAAGTGTTTTTGAGTTGTATGTAAATTTTGATATAACATTCTGTTGAATTATACTTTCTAAACATTTGCTTGCTAAACATAATTATATGCTAAGATTCAATAGAGCTGTTTAACCTCTTATTATTGTTGCTAATTATGGCGAATCTTATGCTATCAATGTGTTTCAATATTTTAATTTTGAGAAATATATCACTTCAGAGTGTTTTTAAGAAATAGATGTTATTTAGTTATTTGATATATACATCGGTGAAAAGCCGTGGCATCATTAATGTATGTTAAAGAACTGCTTGCATATATGAAGTAAATTATATGTGGACAGCTGGCTTGTTTTCCAAGAAGTCGGTCCCGAACAAAAGAGGGAAATAGCTTCCATCATATGAGTAACTATGAATTGTGGAATTATTTACCAAATGACAAGCTTCTCTGTTTTTAATCAAAATATGAAAGTAGAAACAGAATAATTATCAATCTCCTGTTGTCGCAAACTAGTAGTGAAATATACTTTTAATGTGAAATGGAGCCAAAATAGTCAAGTGATTGATATTTATTACCCTTTTTGCAATAATAAATAAAAAATTCCTATAGCTGGGGTCATTCCATTTTTTGCATCAATGAAGGCATCCAAACAGTTTCTTCCATTTTATGGTACCTGAAAGTTTGGATATTTTCCCAGTGATTTTTCCTATTTTTAACACATTGTCGCCTACACAGGCTTGAGATTTTTAACACATCAAGAGCTCTTTTATGGCAGTAACTGTTCTCCCTTTAGAGGTCCACTTGAGCCTATGTGGCTCCTCAGTTGATGCCTAGAATTTGTTGGTTGCTTTACTGTCATGATGTGGAATGCAACTCTTTGGACACAACTGCTGTGTCTACCCATGTTTAACACCTGTTTGGATGCTACATCCATCTGTTTTATTTTCTTAAAAAATGGACAGCACAACAAGATTATTATCCCATTTTGTTAAGCAACTATACCTCTGTACTGTTGTTAATGGTTTTATGCCCTATAGTTGAGATTATTATTACAAACAATTAAAAATTGTAAGACATTTATCCTTGATAAATTCATGCACAGGCATACAAACTATATCCTTGAATCTATATTTCAGGAAGTTGGCATGTTTGTATCCTATGTCTTTATTGTAGTCAGTACACTTTGTTTCCACAAATTGCAAATATCATTTTAGGATAATGAAAATAATTAAAAATGACATTTGCTGTTTGATTTACAATATTACTTGTGCCAATGTTATGATATATGATGTAAATTTTCGTGCAATGCTGGTTTTCAGGTGTCCTGCTTGCAGAAATTATAAGGTAATATATTAGTTTGTTTTGTTTGATATTATCTTATTTATATTGGGTACAATTTAATTACTTGAGTATCAATTATGCAGCCGCATTATGAGAAGGTTGCAAGGCTTTTCACTGGACCTAATGCAGTACATCCTGGTATCATATTAATGACTAGGGTAGACTGTGCATCGAAGGTATTTCTGCTATGTCTTCTTAATTTATTTCCCTTCGGGTATGATGTGCTTGAAGTTGAAGTCCTGGAATTGTTTCTTTCCTAGAAATGTTTCATGGCCTGTATCATTGACTGCCAAACTCTTTGATAAGATTTCAGCATATGTAAAATGACATTTGCTTACCACACTCTTTCTAAAGTTTATTTTCTTTCATTGCCCTACTTTGTATGACATTTCTTCGATATATTGTAGACATGGCTTAGTGATTTTCCCTTTTACTTTTTACTGTTTTCGGCAGCACAGATAAATACCAAACTTTGTGATAAGTTTTCTGTGAGTCATTATCCTATGCTCTTCTGGGGCCCACCTTCTAGATTTGTATCTGGTGGTTGGGAACCTAAACAGGATAAAAGTGAAATATGTGAAATTGATGATGGACGGACAGCTGATCGCTTGCTTAACTGGATCAATAAGCAATTAGGCAGGTATGGGTATCTACGGCTATTGCTTATTATATAATTATACTAACATTTTTTATCCTATTTTCTAGTTTGCAATCTGTGATTATTAGCTTCAAACCTTGCTCTCATTTATATTTGTATGCTCCTATGCAGCTCATACGCCTTGGATGACGAGAAGTACGAAAACGAGCCTCTTCCATCAAATATATCAGACCCTGGACAGGTCTTTCTGAGAGCATAGCCCAAATTTGCTTCATAAATATTAAAAACAAAATCTTCTCCTTTAGTTCAAGTTACTAACTACTGCATTGATGGCTTTGAAGATTGCTCGAGCTGTATATGACATTGAGGAGGCAACAGCCACTGCCTTTGACATCATTTTAGCACACAAGGTAGACATTTGCTTCTGGGTTCTATACTTGTTTGTGTTTTGCTTATTAGCAATTATGATTTCAATGAATATCATGTTGCAGATGATTAAATCTGAAACTAGGGGTGCATTAATAAGATTCCTTCAGATTTTAGTGGCTCATCATCCTTCAAGGAGGTAAAGCTCACCTTTCATTGTGCACCTTTTTTTTGCAAACTACGGTGCTTCTTGCTGTTTGCTGCTTTCATTTGTTGTTTATTTTTTTTTTTTTTGGTTCTGCCTCATTCATTGTTTTACTCTTGAATATTTTGGATCAGGTGTCGTAAGGGAAGTGCGGAAGTACTGGTAAATTTTGATGACTTGTCCTCATTATATGTGCAATCTGATAGACAGGAAGTTGTCATTGGTGATGGGAAGAGTGCCCTGGGAAATTTCCAAATTTGTGGAAAAGAAGTTCCTCGTGGATATTGGGTAAGTACCCAAAGGCACCTTGTTGCTCTGCGTATATTTGAAGCATTGGTCTTTGGGCTTTAGTTCCAGTTTAAAGAGTGGAGAGGGGTCAGGTTAGGTTAGGTTTTAATTAAAATTTTGTGAAAAGAGGGAAGAAAAGAAAAAAGGAGAGAGAGAGAGAGAGAGAGAGAGTACTCTTGTTGTTTATTGCTTAGGTAGAGTTCAATTTATACTATTTTGTTTAACTTAAATTTTCAAGGGATTTTTCTTCAAATCTGATAAAAGTAGGGAAAAAAGAAAAGAGAAGTTTTCTTATTGTCTACTGCTTTGGCAGAGTTCAATTCATACTATTTTGTTTTACTTAAATGTGCTTGGGAATTTATAATTGTTAACTTTATTTTAGAACTAAATCAATATGATCACATTATTACTGGAAATAAAAAAGGATACTAGAAATGACATATTTTATGAACATCAACATGTATGGATGTGATTATACCACTGATGACGTGACTGAGAAGTATGATGTCTTTAACTGTGGATTGTTAGAACAAGAGTTCTTGATTATTTTCTTGTTTTATGATTTTGTGGAATAAGTTTGTGAGAAAAAAATAATTTATTGTTTTTGGCATGCTCTGGGTATTCTTTTGTAGATGTTTTGCCGTGGCAGCAAGAATGAAACAAGGGGTTTCAGGTAATTGATTGTCTTTTTCAAGCCATATTAAATTATCCTTTTAGTTTTCAGATAATTTTAGGTTATCAATCTTTTAGAATAAACCCTGTCATATGCTTATATAGAGAAGGATATACATGCATAGAGTGAATAGGTGTGATGTCCATCTTATGTAAATTTCTGTGTCTTCTCTAGTTGAGTCATTTCTCTGGTGTATTTAATAAGAGCTTGAATTTTTGTCTTTCAAATATAACTTTGACATTTCTTTTTGAAGATATCTTATTCTAATAAAACATGCCTTTTTATATCAGAATCTTCCTATTACATTTACTTGCGAACCAGAGACATTACCTAATGGAGTTCGCTCTTAGAATATACCTGTTATGATTTTATCAAGCGTCTTATATAAGCAGGATGGCCATAATTACTCCATCTGAGCTTTGGCTCATAGGGCCATATGAAAACATATTCTAAAAAAGATATATGATGCAAACATCAAGTAGTGATAGTTCCCTCATGAATTCATGATGAAGACATGGAGAGTTAGCCCAATTTACTGCATAGACATGATGAACACTTGTCTAGGTGTTTGGATAAGAGAAATGAGCTGACACAAGGTGAAAGTTTATGACTAGTTGTTGTGGAACTACAAGGCTGGGCCACCAACTGGTTCATTTCTGAAGTTTTTTGAGAAATGGAGTAGAAGGGAAAGGCAAATTTCTGTTTTCCATTGTTACAAAAAGGATACATATATAAGCATGTGTTGGCATATTGTTGGTGTGAACATTTCAAGGTGGTGATGAGTAACAAAGCAGAGGTCTTCATGTTTCTTTATACAGACTTGGAGACACACATAGATATGCACTTTTATGTAAGTGTGAATTCTGATAGCCAGTAGAGTATTCTTAAATTAAATTCTGGTGGGTGCTTCACTTTCTTTGGCAAACCATAATTTAGCTAAAATTTTCCTAGAATATATGAAAAAGAATAGAAAGTAAACGCTTGCTAACTCCATTTATCGTCATGCTGCCTCCTACAGTATTTGTAATGTAATTTCATTCTTTTTCTTTCTTTCTTTTATTTATTAATTTTGGGCGTTATCACCTATTCATAAGTTTATGCTTACAACATGGCTATTATTTGAGGGGCTCCCTTTAGTTGAAATGTTTTATTAAGTTATTAATTATTACTTAATATTATTTGCAGCTGTGGCTTATGGGTTCTACTGCATTCGCTCTCTGTTAGAGTTGACGACGGAGAGAGCCAGTTTACATTTACAGCTATATGTGATTTTATCCACAGTTTCTTTCTCTGTGAGGAGTGTCGTCAACATTTTTATGACATGTGTTCAAGGTAAAAGCAAATGGAATAATTTTTTTTTTCTTCTGACACTCAAAGCTCCTTTCATTGATTCATTGATATTGATTACTATTGATTTTCAGTGTTACAACTCCTTTCAATAAAACCCGTGATTTTTCCCTTTGGTTGTGGAGTGCACATAATAAAGTCAACGAGAGATTAATGAAGATAGAAGCATCTTTAAAGACTGCTGATCCCAAGTTCCCAAAGATTATTTGGCCTCCAAAGCAGCTTTGCTCTACATGTTATCGCTCTCTTAGCAAAGGAGATACCAAAAACAATCAGATTGACTGGGACCAGGATGAAGTATTCAAGTTCGTGTCTAGTTATTATGGGAAAACACTTGTATCTCTGTATAAGGACAAGGATGCTCTAAGGAACGAGGGTATCGATGGAGTTCTAGAAGATTTGGTGGTCTCGACAAATGCAGTTGTAGTACCTGTGGGAGCTGCACTGGCAATTGCTCTTGCTAGCTGTGCATTTGGAGCACTCGCTTGCTATTGGCGTTCACAGCAGAAGAATCGGAAGTATTACTACCAACTACACTCTTTAAAGAACATATGATAATTAGGAGGGTAATGAGCTCTTTTAAAAATATTAAAAGAAAATGGAAAGAAAAAAGAAATAAGAATTAAAAAAGGGGATTGATAGATAAATTTAGAGAGGTTTTGGTTGTCAGGAGGTAAACGTTCTCATGTGTTTTCATTCCGCAAAATTTCAGGCCCAGGAGAAGTTGGAACTAAGATTGTTTAAACGACAAAACCATATACACAGCCCTTAAGGTGCCCAGCCGAATGAATCAGGCTCTAAATAGGAATCCAGATGACAACCTTGTACCAACTGGCCGTTTTGAGGTCCTCTTCTGTATCCCCTTGCTCATTAAGCTTTTGATTTTGAAATATTTAATTTCGGACTGTACAGATTCATATCATAATCTTAATTTTGGATAAGAGTTCACTTATTTTAATTTACACTGTATTTGGTTAATCGGTGGAGCATGGTTAATTGCAATGGCTCATCGAAGTAGAGCTTATTGATTAAGAGTGAGTACACGTCTGATGCAAAAATACTTCCGTTTGTAATGGAAAAACTGGATGAACAAATACTGAAATAGTTGTAGTTGAGTATGCTTATTGATTTTCTCTTTCATCTTTGATTCTATTTCAACCAGTGTGCTACTTTCTAACGTGTTTCTGCCAAATGTAGTGAAGTGCTGAGAATTGTCTCCGTTTGTGCTAATTGATTGGATAATGCGGAGAAAGACTTTTTGCATAGGTATATTTACATAAGTTAGTGTATTTGATGAACGTATTGATGGTATAGTACCACGATGAGTAGGAAGAAGGAAATTCTTAAACCTGAGGTGCTTGTTTGGGCATATTATCCCATGAATATGGACCTTAACAGTTACCATTGCGCTGTGATTGGAGTTAGAAATGTGTAAGATCTGGTATGGTGGAGTTGGATGAATTGAAAACCATAAAACGTCTTTTCATTAGCAGGGAATTTCTATGAGTTTGTCTCCGTAAATTTTACATGTCAGCTTGCTGGATAAGTGAGAGTCTGACCGAGTTTATGAAAATTAGTTTATAAGTAGTAGTATTTATAAGATAATTTAAGTTTATAAGCATTTGAAATTGAAGTACTTACGTGTTTAGTTAAAGTACTTAGAGTATTTTCAATTATGTTTTTTATTTTAAAGAGCATTTTTTATATAAATAAAGAACATCTTTGCTAATTTTTAAATATAAAGAATAAGATTTTTATTCAAGTTCAATGAATTCTTTAAATTTAATAAAAATGTTTTTTATTTTTATGAAAGAGACTTAACTGAAAGAGAATTAATAAATAAAATACATAAAAACTTGTAGTTTATTAATTACAATTAGGATAGAGAATGAAATTTGACTCTCTAAATGTGAAGAGTCAAATTCACTCTTTAATTTATATTTAAAAGATAAAGAGTTTGTTGGATTCTTATTTTTATGGATAGATTTTTTATAATAAAGAGTTTGAGTCATATAAAAAGTCCTTTAGAGATACTCTTATAAGTGATTGATAAGTAGTTTACGTATTTGGTAAAATGTGTTTATAAGTACATTTTATTATTAAAATGACCAAAAATACACTAAATTATTTTATATGATGAAATTTTAAAATTAAATAGAAGTAATGTGGAAATATACTCAGTGTTTATAACAAGAAAAAAAAAAAAAAAAAAAGTAGTTCTTCCCCAATTTATTTATTTTTTTGGGCTTATAAGCCCTAAAAAGTTACAAACAAACAAATGAGTTTGATTTTCTGATTTATAAGCTTAATAAACACTCCTTAATGCAACATGTGTTTCTCGAAGAATGTTACAGTTAATTCTTGAATGCAGCAATCCATTAACTTTAAAACCTTCAAATTCAAAATTGAGGTTTGCTCAATACAGCATTTAAATACTGTTCTTTTTATTTTATAAAAAATAAGGAATATAAAAAAATCTTATGAACGTGGTTAAGTCGACCGAGTTAAAATGTTTTAGAAAATAATTTTCATATACAATCTTTAACATGAGTGTAAAATCAAACAATAAAAAAAAAAAAGTCATCTTCTCAATTTTTATAACTTTTAATCTGAAAACAGTTTTTAAATAATATATCAAACAAACATTCAAATACTAAAGCACAGCTCAAAATTTTAAATTGCTAAAATACAATTCAAAATTTTGAATTTTATGTTAGATTACAAAAAAAATGAAGAATGGACTTTTTCCTATTGTTATTTTATAAAACATTTTTTTTTTTTTTAAATAAGTTTTAGCAAATATTTATGAATGAAGGGCCTTTTTTTTTTTTTTTTTTTTGGGTAATTAAGGGTGTATGTGCCAGCTTAGATGCACCTCTACTGAAGCCTTGAAGTTAACGATTAGATAAAGTGTCCAGTGGGAAACTAATTCCCCGGGACCCTATGATAACGACTGGATAAACCCTCCAGTGGAAGACTAATCCCCCGAAGTCTTGAAGTTAACCAATTAACGGGAATCGAACTCAAAACCTTTTGAGTAATACATTCAAGAGTCTTTATTGTCTCACCCTGTTTCTGAACAGAAGATGTTGTCATCTTATTCCAAATAATACACCGGTAAAGCAAATGAGAAAAGTAAACAGTGTGTAGGCAACTAAAACAGCTTGCTTTCTCCATTAATTTGTATATACTTATTCTCTTTTTCTTTTTCTTTTTCACAGTTGCCAAACAATTACACTATCCCATTTACAAATCTACACTTCATCTTTTGATTTTGCTTGCTTTGGTAGTCATAGTATAATTGTTTCTATGTACAATGGCATAACTTTTTTTTCTGACCCTACAATCTTTTTCTTTGCAAAGCTAATTAAAATCCCCACCAGAACTCTGCAGTGAGTCATAATGCATTTAAATGCTGCTGATCACAAGCCAATAATGATTCAACCATTGCTTAGATGACATGAAGGATCTGGGCATGCGGCTGAGGGGTCGTCGAATGTTGAGTTTCTTCGTTCGACGATGAACTTGGGGGCTCCTAAGATTACCCAGATGATCAAACAAACAAAGAAACTTAAAATGAGCATTTGAGTTTTGTATTGTGTATGTGTATGATTGTTTAATTGAACACTGCAGAGAAAATGCAGAAGGTCACTGGTTATAAACTTACAGGTTGATGGCGGTGGCGCTGAAAAGCAGTTACTGCTCGTACCATGACATAGATTGGAAGAACAATGCCGAGGGTTCGAAGAAACAAAATCTGCAGGAAATGAGAAAACTTAGAATGAATTTTCTGCAAGTATGAGTTTCTGTAAGTTTATCTGAGTGATGAAATGTAGTCTTACCAAGAACAATTGGAAGGTAAATTCATTGGATCCATTAAGTATGAGGGGAAGTGTATGCCTTAAAATTAGAAGAATCATGAACTGCAGAAGAGAAGCAAATCAATCTTTTTTATCAGAAATTTCAAGAAATCTTCCTTGAACTAGTTTCCGAAAGTTAGCTGAGAGAGAGGGACTTACGATTAGAGCAAATGAACGACAGCAGATCAAGCTTCGTGTAGTCGAAGCTGAATAGTCATCATAGGTAGGTGAATGCAGGAAATTCCGGTCAGTTGAGACCATCGCAATGATTCGTGGATTATTCAACTCCCTCCTGGAGATTTCCCAGTTTCCCCTGAATTGAAATATTGTCAGAGAAAATTATTGGTGAAGTTGTTAAGGAAAAGAAAGAAGTGGAGGTAAATAAAAACTACCTGAAGCTCAATGGAATGTGTCCAAACTGGAAAAGGGGAGGTGGAGCTGTGTAACCAGGCCTGAATTGCTGCATTTTTCACACAATTTAACATTGATTAACAGCTCAATTTTCAAGTTAACATGAAGCTAATGAACTACAAATCGAAAGAAAAATGATAACTCTGTTGGAGTTGTCAACCATTTCAACATTCATGGTTTGCATAGACGCATTGGGAGGCGGGGGTTGCGGGGGCAGCGACCTCGAGCCCGTAGACGGTTTTGGGTTTTTTCCATGTACAAACATTTCTTTAAGTTGTTAATTCTTTATTTAGGTTTGGGCTTAAGAATAGGAATCTTTGTAAAATTAGGTTTAATCTCTTAAACTTAAACACACTTTTCTCTTGTAATGAGTGATAACAAACTTCATTATAAAACAAAAGAGGTGAGACAGTATTGAAATAATATTGACTCTACTGAACGTAGTCTACATTAGGTGAACGAGGACAAATCGCACATATTACTTTCTCTCTTTATTGTTTATGTTTGTTTGTTTACTGTTTATTTTTGTTCCCGTATTACTCTCTATTTCGTTCAAACTCGCCAATTTATTGATGGAATTCAAGAACATCAACTCATTAAAAAGTCCTACCTGGTGGCATATCTCACAAGTGGTGTCACCCTTCTCATTACACCATCTCTGTACACATCTGCGATGAGCATACTGCAAAAATGAACACAGCAAATTGAAACATCAATCCTGCAAAGGAAATCAAACTTTTCCAAGAAAATTATGATGCAATTTGCAGTTTAAAAACATTAATCATGAATCCAAACAAACAATTGAAGGCCTCATATTGTCTTGAGGTCAAAATTTTGCTGCTAAAAGAAGCTGAAAAGGAAAGGGAATTTTGATTTGAAGGCTGTGGTTGAATGGAATTAATTAACTAACCTTCAAGCTGCCACAACAAGAGCAAGGTGTCTCCATATTTGAATCTTCATCTTCATCTTGGCAAATCCTGCACTCCACCACTTTCCCTGGAGTTGATATGTCTCTGAACTCAATCTTCTGGGGAAAATTCTCGACTTCTGAGTCATCAACTGTTGATTTCGCCGCTTCGAGAGACCGATTTCTGCTCTCGATTGCAGCTTCTAGAGTGGATTCTGTCAGCAACCGATCCACCAGCAAAACAAAATGATCTCCCATGTTCAAATTCACACCTCTTCAATAACGAAATTCAATCAAATTCAAGACTAAAACTCCTTGATCAAGCTCTTTACTTTCAATTTTAACTCCTGAAATTCAACAAACATGTACAAGAATTAGAAAATTACAAAAAAAGAAAAAAGAAAACAAAAAGCTTTACAAAAGGAGCAAAAAGATCGAACAATGAAACCAGTAGCTTTATAAAACAGCACTAAAAGCTGAACGGCTGAACCCAATTCAGGTAAAAGCCAACAGTCAGAAGACAAAGGCAACAACCCAATTGAGAAAAACACATGGAGCAACATTCAAAACGCACAGAAAAATGAGAAACGAAACGAACCCAGATGCCAAAAGAAAGAGTACTTTACAGAAACACAAGGCTTAAAAGTTTCAAAAGCCAAAAGGGATGATTATTTATGACTTAAAATAAAAAATAAAAAACAAAAGATACAAAGGTAACAGGGAGAAGAAAGAAGAGACTTACAAGGAGAGAATCGTATTAATTTGTTGAAGCTAAGCCAAGTTAAGAAAAAGCTCTCTCTTTCTGTGGTTGAATCTTCTTATGTATCTTCTTTTCAATTTGGAAAGCTTGAAGCAAGAGGTTGAGTGTTTGCCTTTTGAGAAAACTCAAATCAAAAGCAGCAGAAATACCAATGATTATATATGTTTTTGTTTTCTTTGTTGCACAAAAACACTTTCCTGTTTTCTCGTTGGGTTTTGGTTTTTGTGTCTTCTTCTTCATGCCATGCGTTTGTAATATATATTTATATATGTATGCAAAGGATTCGGCTTTGTGAGTTTGTATCAGCTTGAAGACAAAAACAGAAAAAAACAAAAAACAAAAAATAAAATATATTAAACAGATTTTAGCGGCAAACGAGCTAGCTCCACCATTGCCACCATCTTACGTCAACGCTCTTGTCATTTTGTAATGGGATTTTCTTTTCTCGTCCATTTTCTTGGGAAAGTTTTGGTTTTTCAATGGAATTTATCCAATAATATTTTTCATCTTTATCTATTTACAAAATCTATTTTTATAAAGTAAGACATATCCAAAACTAAGATAGATAATTAGATAAATAGCGTAATTGAAATTGAAATTGAATAATTGGTTAAGCCCTCCAATTTGACCATGTCCAATTTGGTTGACCAAAAAGAAAAAATCAAAATTGGTGAACTATTTGGTGAGCCAAATGCTTGCTTGGTTGACCCATTTGGGTGGAGTTGAATTTAATTTAATTGGTGAGAATTGATCCACATGGATTTTCTCGGATCTGTTTGGTTGACAAGAAAATCAAATGAAGAAAAAGTTGGTTACTTCATTCATTGGTTTTGTTGACAACCACCACAATGCAAAACTAATTATTGGAGAACCATATTCCATGCATTAATTTATTTTATTTTATTTATTCTTTGCTTTTCATTTGCATAGAGGAGTCAGTTTTATCCTCCAATAGGGCACATCTATAAATATATAGAGTAGCGGGTCAAAAAATTTATATTAAAACTTAAAATGGACCAAAATAAAATCTAATTACACATCACATTTATATTCTGTTTTCCTACTCAAAATTATCACAAAAAGAAAAAAATTACATATTAATATTTTTTTTTTTAATGTGAGGGTGGGCCACCCTCAATATATTCTGAATCCGCCCCTATATATATATATTCTCTTGTACATACGTCTTCATCTTTAAAAATACAGACTTATTTCTTTTTCGTAGTTTTGATTTATGACAATTTTTTCATATATTTTCTCGTTGTCAAAATAATTAAATAAAACCGTCTTAAATAATTCTCTCCCATTTTCATTACCATATTAAATGTTTTTTAATGCACTTTTAAAAGTCAAAATATGAATAAACTATACTTGACCAATTTTTTCTATATTATGTCCAAATGATTTGTTCTTTATATATAATCAAAAAGAAAAGAAAAATAAATAAAGCAAAATATAACATATTCAAAGTTCCATCTTAATATAGTTGCACTTAATTTTTAAAATTCTATTATTTATTGTTTCTAATTATATATTTTTTTGAATCCATAATACCTAATATTCTTATTTATTAAAGAATTATTATTATTTTTGTATAATTTACTTGTAATATTTTTTTTTTTTCTATTAACAACATGTCTAGTAAATAAAAGTGTTAATAGATTTATTTATTAAGAAAAGACCCAATTTTTGATTGATCAGCCTTTGACCATAATTAATAAAATGATATTATTAATTTAATCTGTAAATGATTTAATAAGAAATAAGGTGAGGTTGATCAACCAATTTTAGGTCTTGAATAATTTGATTGGATTATCCTGAAGGTTGGGTACATTATTGTGTACTTATGTTCAACTAATTAATTATTTAACATATATTTTGCTAATAATGTTTGATTAATTTAAAATTAAAATAATATAACCAAGATTCCAATAATGTACTAGTTCATGAATAAAATATATAGCCCCATGAGGCCCATGACCAATTATAGAGAGTTGAGAACTTCAGTCAAAAGCTTTATTTAGTACTAGGTAATTGCTTAGGACCAATATACCTTAATTTAAGGGTCTCACAAATATTTTATAATATATGAAATTAATTTTTTTTTTTATATATATGAATTTATCTTTTCATGGTATATTTTAAGCCCACTTGATTACCCTTTTAGATTTAATTAAATTTTTCTCCTCATCATTAAATAAATATGCAACAAACAATAATATCTTTGACAAATTAATTTTCCCTTCTATTTTCTCGCTTTCCAAACACTCTTACTCCTAAAGATTCATCGATTTTCAGTAGTCAATAGGAAAGAAAAAATCTTGAACGAAGAACTAACGCCCTATAACTTAGTAAATTTCCAAAAAACTTGGACATTTTTCTTTATATACAACTGCAAAACATAGAGGAATAAAAAGTGTTTTATATTTACCCTTTAACTTCTCATTTATCAACGGTTAGATTATTTCAACTCAAAGGCTGAAAATTTAAGTCACCATTTTAAGTAAAAAAAAAAATTAAGTCACCATTTATATATATTTACCTTTAACTTCTCATTTATATTAAAACGTCCTGGCTAGAGAATAACTCTCTCTCTCTCTCTATCTACATATATATGGACAAGATCTTTTACTTTAATTTGTGACTTAAATTGAGGTATAAGTTTTCGGCCGTTGATATTTTGCAGTTTAATGGATATAAAATTGAGATATCTTATTTAAATATAAAATTTCTTTAGGTACCTTACCAAAAATCTGTTGGATGATAGTCCAATGAACCTTTATCATATTTTCGATAAAATGGTAACATAACTTTAGTATTATATTTATAGTAACATCTGATTATAATCTATCGATAAAAGTATTTTCAGGATCTGCATCTAAAAATAACATATAAACATATTTTATTATACACATTTTATCATAATTGAGTAGATACATATAAATTCGTAAGAATATACAATCAAAAGAATTTTTATGAACAATGCTATGAACACCGACATTTTGTATCGAATTTTTATATTAAACGATGTATCCACTGAATCAGACGAGCCACGTATCACGTTAACAAATAATCCGTGAATGAACGGTTGTCCATCAAATATCGACGATCGTCCATTGTTATTGGACAGCCGTTCATTTGAAATGGACTCCCATCCATGTTGTATGGATGGCTGTTCACCTAGAATAGACTTCCGTTCATAGTTTAAACCAAAAAAAATTGGCCTAAATTATTTATGGACCGTCCATAGTTCCATCTTTTAATATTGAAAAATTTTAAATTTTAAATTTATTTAATGAATCCTAATTGAGTTAGTGCCTTATTCTTATAACACTTGTCCAATTACTTTGAATATAGACAAAAATTTAATGAAGATATCGACATTTACTTCTTGGATTGAGACCAAATGTTGTACATTTTTTTAAATCAAACAATGGATGGACACCTGTCCATTCTAGGTGAATGCCCATCCATAATATATAACGGGAGTCCATTGTTATTTTCTCATGGATAAGCGTCCATTATAAGTAAACAGCCGTCCAATAATCACGAACGCCCATTTTTTTGCTTTTAAAATTTTTTGGACGAGTGTCCATCTTATATGGACGCCAGTCCATAGTAAATAGACACCCGTCCATATAAGATGGACGGGCGTCCATTATTTTTCTTTTAAAATTTTTTGGACAGGCGTCTATATAGTAAATAGGCACCTGTCCATATAATATGAACGGGAGTCCATTAAATATGGGCAGGCGTCCATAAATTTTGGATGGCCGTTCATTCACGAAAGACTCCAGTGTAGTCTTGTCTAACTGGTTGTCATATTCTTCGGTACAAAAACTCGATGTAAAATTTCGATGTCCGTAGCATTACTTTATCATGTTTTCAATAAAATGGTAGCATAACTTTAGTATTATATTTATAGTAGCATCTTATTATAATCTATCGATAAAAGTATTTTCAGGATCTACATCTGAAAATAATATATAAACATATTTTATTGTACACATTTTATCCTAATTGAGCAGATACATATACATTCGAAAGAATATACGATCACAAGAATTTTTATATGGCTGTGACAGAGAATTTTAGACAAATAAAAGATTAGGGCTAAATCGGACACTATAAATTTATAAAAAAAAACTGCCTAACAACCCTCCACAACGAACTTACAATTCCCCAACTGCACCATCCAATCTCTCCCTTCCACGTTTCAACCTTTCCCGCCAAAACCAACCGTCTTCCCAGCGTAACAAAATCAGAACAATCACGAAGCGAAAATCAAAAACGAAAACAAAAATCTAAAGCTTTATCAATGGCGACCAAACTAATCTTCTTCTTCATTTCACTCTTCCTTCTCCCTCTCCATCTCTCCACCGCCGCTGACACCACCACCACCAACACCACCCACATCCACTGCGCCGCCGACGTCCTCTCGAACTCCGGCTCTCTCTCCATGTCTCTCACTCTCCAACTCTTTTCCAGAACCCTCACCTCCCATTCACACTCACATTCCCACTCAAATTCTTACCCTCACTCCCACTTTCACTCTTCTTCTCTCACCCTCTTCGCTCCCTCCGACGCCGCCTTCGCCGCCTCTGGCCAACCCTCGCTCTCCATCCTCCAACTCCACTGCTCCCCTCTCTTTCTCACTCTCCACTCCCTCAAAGCGCAACCTTGCAACTCAAGAATCCCCACTTTATCCCCCAACCACTCCCTCATCGTCACTTCTTCTCCTTCCAACGACGGCGAAGTCTCTCTTAACGCTGTCAAGATTCACCCCTCGCCGTTGTACGATGATGGGTCGTTGATCATCTTCGGAATAGACGAGTTTTTCAACCCAAATTATCGCGGTTCAGCCCCCACCACGAATACCAAAAACAACCCGAGTCTTGAATGTGGGGTGTCGTTTAATTCGTTTGTGAGTGCGTTTAAGGACGTTCCCGAGGTTTTAAGATCAAAAGGTTACTCTTTCATAGCGGCATTTCTTGAATTACAGCTGCTAGGGTTTAATAAAAAGAATAACATTACTAATTTATTGACTTTGTTTGCCCCTGATGATGATGCTTTGATGAGTTACATCGTAAACGTGAGTGAGTACTCATCGTTGTTGTTTAGGCATCTTGTGAATTGCAAGGTTATGTGGAGTGAATTGGTGGGTTTTGATGATGATGTTGGGGGGGATTTTGTGATCGGGACATTCTTGGAGGGGTTTAAGTAAGTGTGACAAGATCTGAAGATGGAATGTTGATGCTCAATGGAGTAGAGCTTACCAATCCAGATGTGTATTACAGTGACTGGCTGATTGTTCATGGCATTCCTGAGGTTCTAGTGGTGCCAAAGGGGCAAGAAAAAATGGCTGCGAATCAACCGGCTTCTTCGAAGATTCATGAGCAGATTAATGCTCCGGATTAAGGCCTTTTTGTTACTTCATTAGGATATTTAACTTGTTTGAGATTTTGATCTTATAGATTGAATCAGTCTTCATTAAGATTGTTTAGGCCTCTTGAAATTACTGAAAATTGACAAACAAAAAGAGTTTCTGGTTCTGTTTCTTGTGCATGCTATGAATGAGTACATCTTCTGTTCATATTCATATTCATCTGCTGTTTCGGATTGCATTTCCATTAGCAAAAGTTTGTCGAAGTGGAAAGCATATCAAAATCACAAACAATAGGTCAAAGATTCTAGCCCATGAGCCATTATTATTAATGATAATAGAGAAGAAGATAAAGCCAAAATCCCACAAAAGGGAAAGAGATTAATGCATACCAATTAACAACTAATTGCTTTTACTTTACTATACACAGGTAACAGAGTACACTAGAAATGGCTATAATATGCCTACAACTCAAGATGGAGCTTCGCCCCATTTTGGTTCCTTCCCCTAATAGGGATTACAGCAAAACTCAGGATTAATAACCAACTGTTTTTTCTATTTATACTAAATTGTATACTACAACATCTAGACTTCACTTGAAGTGTTCGGCCTTGATACATGATTATTGCTATATTCGCTAACATTTTTCTTCTGAATCCCACTTATGCATTTTATTGGTAAGGATAGTTTCACAAACTCTTCCTCCCTTCGGGGGCGGTTCGCATGGAGTATCCAAAGAACGAGGCAGAGCAAGACTCCGCTTGAGATTAAACCCAATCCTGCATTTACAATTTTTAGATAGTGCTCCAATGGCGGGCAGTAGTTCGAGGTGATGTTTTGAAATGTGTCCCGGACAAAATTGCAATCCTGAAGACTGAGTAAAGGTGGGGTGTAATGCTCAAGAGCATAGATTTCTTGCACGGCCGATGCCAACTGCCCATAGAAGTATGGGGTCACCCTTCCGGCAGTCCTGCACAGCCCAGATGCATCAACTTTGCAAGTGTAGTTCTGCCAAACCTGAAGATAACCATGAAGAAATTGAGTTAATCTAAACTGTTTTGCTTCAGTGCATAATACGAGTGAGGTTTCAAATTTCATAAATGTTTTAAGTTCATTTTCCATTCAGTGCATAATTCGAGTGAGGTTTCAAATTTCATAAATGTTTAAGTTCATTTTCCTTATAACCTTAATAAGGGTCTTCCAGTGTTGTATATTGAATAAATCAAGCAGCACCCAAATATGTCTTTACAAGATGTAGATTTTTTTTTTTAATAGAAAAGAGAAGCATTAAATATAAATCCATGTATAAAACGTACCTCAGAAGCATTTGCTACAGAGACTTCTTGAGGCCCACACTGACGGTCTTGTAGCTGAGAGTCATATGGGTAACATAGTGCAGGCATCATAGGTCCAGACTGATTGTAATAAAACTGGTAATCTGGAGATGGATTTGTATCGGCAACAGAATATATAAATTGATTGACGACATTGACAATGTCAGTGATGACTTGTTTACTCTTAATGAGAGTTTGGTTTGTTGTTTTCTGGTCAACGCATGGAAGAATGTTGCTCAGAGCAGTCTCGGCATGAGGATGGTCTACCCATTCACCCATGGCCATACAGGTGTCCGATACTGCACTGCAATATGAAAAACACAATTTTCCTGTCAGTTTGTGCAAACGAGATCTAAAGAGTAAGAATGGATACATACTGAATTCACATTTCATCTAAACATAAAATGAAGTAGAGAAACATAAAAAAAAAATGTCTGCATCCAAAATCGCATTATCTTAGTTTCGAGGATCATGGAAACTTCGAAAAGTAGAAATATTGAGCATTGCACACCGATGAACTTTAGGAAGAAGACAATTTAAAAGCTAGAAATTTTTTATTTCATCTGCACTCACAAATAAGTAGACAAGTTTATAGAGATCCCCATCAGAAATCCAACACTCACTTGTCAAGGATTACGAATACTCCACATAGAATGAATGTAATTGCCACTAGTAACCATCCACTCACAATGAATCTGCAACAATATACTGAAACATCAGGCAGAGATATGGAAATCATCCAGCAAAATGGAGCTTATTGGTGCTTAAAGTAGAAAACATGTCAACCACGTGCACTTACATATGAATTGCATGCTGGTGCCCAAGGATAGAGAGGACTGCAACCGAAAAAGAAAAAAGTCAGTGGTACATAATAAACGAGTTGATGACAAAAATTAATACAAGTATCAGTTAAATAAGATTTCTCAACAATACATACGAAGACCAATGAGGGATAGGAGAAGCATCAATGCTGCTACAGTTATCAATGCAGATCGCCTGCAACAACAAATTCAAAACTGACCATTAACATTTTTAGTTCCAATATAGATTCCATTTCAGGTAATACTATCAAGATTTTAAGTGCATACACAGCATTGAAGACTTTTTTTATTTTAGCAGAATTTTCACTGGTCTTCTCATTCAGAGTATTTGCTGCAGTACTTAAATCCACATTTAACTTGTCAATGTCATCCATGACATTAGAAGGAAGGAAAATCTGGGCCACATTAATAGTCTTTGCTAGGGAGAGATACTCTGTAACATTTCTCAGGGTTTCCACAGTGTAGTCTGATTGGTTTACAACATACTTTAAAGTACGCAAAGCTTCACCATGAAATTCATCCTGCCCAACCGAGAGAAGAATGCATCCAATCCTGGTGATAAAGGATAATCTATTAGCGGGCAAAATAAATGAAGAGGGCAGTTCAAGAGATTATTTATCATGTGACAAACAGGAAAATAAAATAATAATAATAATTAAAAAAAAAAAAAAAAACAAGGCATGACGGGTTTAGAATAGGACTGATTCTAACTCTCATATTTGTTCTAATCTTGTTCGGCTTTAAGAGCCACCACCTCCATGTACACAGTTCAAGGCATATGAACACAGATAGTAAACTCCCAAAGAAAGCACACATCTCCATAGGAGACTTTTGGAATAGGTTTCGATCTAAATGATTCTGGAAGTTGGGCCAAATGAAGAAGGTAAAAAGTAAGTAAGATGTAAAACAAGATAGAATCCTCATAGTCTCTGACAGATATCAATGACTTCAACCATTACAGTGAAAATATCATTATACTTGAGGTATAAAAATTAATAAGAAAAGAAAAAAAGAAGCATGAGTTCAGATGATTACGCTGCAGCACAAGTGAACACTATGAGCAAGATCAAACAAATTCTCTGCGATCGAGCTGATCCTTCGCCTTCAATCGTTATTTTCCATCCACAGAAATGATGTATCACAAGAGCCACGCCAAATGAAACAAACCAGAACACTGCCAGAATGAAGCCAGCCGCACCCGTAAATCCAACAGACTGCATACACAATGGTCAGAAAACTTATGTCACTCATGCCTCTTAACTCACAATTCAGTCAGGAATCTAAAAATCAAATGACCAAGCAACTTCCTCCTTCAATTCATCTTCTTATATACTCAATCTTATGCTAAAGTTTTCTAAGCATAAGATTACTTTAGCCTTTTCTTCACAATCTAAGCCTTATCAATGTGATATGTGTGAACAATTACTCTAGCAATCACAACATTGGCGGATTAATCAAATCACTACTAGAATGTAACACAGAAAATGCAGGACTTACAGCCCAGTAATGCTTATTGGTGATATCCCAGCCGCCCCGATATCGCCTGAACCGATTAAGAATGTCAGGCCTCTTGGTCCTGTTTGCTGCCAACACTAGAGACTCTAGCGGAGCTGGCCCCGGAGCTTCTGCAGAAGCATAAATCTCATTCTTCCAGGCTCCTAAATTATGTTCTCCTGCACTCACAACAACAAATTACAATCAAATCATTACCACATACTTAAAATTTCCCTTTTTATTTTCTTCAAAAAGAAAAAAAAAGTATCTTTTTTTCTCATCTTTCCTTATATTTTTCTCGGCAACCAAACAGAACCAAGATTACAAAACCCAACACATTACTAAGATTTAACAAAAACCCAGAAACCAAAAGAGTGGCAACAAACCTAGAATGAACTTGACAGGATCATCATGGGGTCCATCAGCTGAAACAGAGCTCAAAGAAGGCAAAAAAACAAGAACAAAAACGAAGAATGAAGAGCTAGAAGTAGCCATCTTCATTTCATTTGAGATGAAACAACAAACAAACAAAAAGGCCGAAGGTTTTCTCACTCAATCATCATAAAGATTTGGTCCTTAAGAACCGAACCAAATCAAGAAATTGAGAGAGAATTAAATGGGAATGAATTAGCTGAAACAGAAAAGGAAAGAGAACAAAGAGTGAGTCACATGACGAAGAGGAGGTTACTATAAAGGCGGGTGTGTTTAATGAGTGAATGTGTTTTAGAAGACGTCATTAAGTTAAGCAAAAGCACATGCTAACCAAAAGCACTTATTTAATAAGCACTTCCAAAAAAAAATTAGTTTTTTTTTTTTTTTTTGGTTATATTTACTTCATATTGCCCTTTTTAATTAAACAAATCTTTAAAAAAATATATTAAGACCGATTTGATATAGAATTTTAATCAAACGAAAAATAAATATTATAATAAATGTTATAAAAAAGGAGTTTCGAATATAATTCTAAAACCCGAAATAAGATATAACGTGTTTTTAGACATTAAAAATTATATTCGAATCACAAACCGAACTAATTATCGACCCAATTATAAATGAGTGTCCTAATTGTTAAAACTAATTTTAGTGTAGTTGAATAAGTTGGTAGAGATTTTAGGTTTCTCATAAATTTTTGGAAATTAAATAGAATTTTAACAAATTTTATGAACGTTTTGCAAGGGCATTTAAGTAAAAGAACATAAAAGTAGTTTGGGATCCTAATGAATGGGAACAGAAGTGTTGTTTTTTTCGTAAAAAAAATCCTAATTTAGTTGTCTTTGGTTGAGCGGTTTAAGAAATCATTATCCACTGTGGTTAGGTACACAGTACCACTCTCATCTCACTATTATATTTGTTAAACTGAGCTAATCAGGTCCGTTAAAAGGTGGGACCTGCGAAAAGCTTCTTCCTTGTGTGTGTGCGACCTTTTTGCTATCACGTGATGTAATCGGACGGTCTCTATTAAGTGTTTATAATGTTGATGATGCATTTAAAAAATGTCTACAAAGTACAAATATAACCCAAAAAAAATTTGTTGAACAACTCAAGAAATATATTTTTTTTTATTTTAAAAAATAATATTCTTAAATATCAAAAAGATGAAAATAAGATCTTATATTTTAAAGATCTAGGATTATGCCTAATATAATATTATATTATATTAAATTAGTGTTTTTAAAAATAATTAAATTAAAAGTACTCTTCTATTATAATGCTTTGAAGCTAGTACTGTATAACATCTAGAAACCCGAATAAAAAATCAAAATATTTACCCCATTTTTAATCATTTATTAATTTTGAACCCACATTTAACAACATTATACGTATTTTAATGTATTAAAAATATCATAATAATCCCACCATTTAGATCACAATAACAATATGAACCCAATTTAAGCAAAAATCAATTTTAAAAATATCTAAAATAAAATATACATGAAAAATACAAAACAAAACAAAAAAGTGGTGGAGCACGATAAATTATAGTAAGATCGAATCACTGGATCTCAGTCATAATTGAGGAGCATGAAACGTGTTGGGTATACTCGCCACGTGATGAAGGTGAGACAACGAGGGTCACCGTGCGACCCAAAAAATAATAATGGTATTGGTGGGCCAATCCAACGGATGAAAAGCAACCGATCATCGCCATTAGATGCTGGTAATCCGCACCGAATGCTAAAAGTAATACTGATCTGATACGCGCCTAGCCTGCCACAATCTTCGGTGAAGCAATATTTGCTTTCACATTTTTTATGCAGCCGTCACCGTCAATTCTGCCTCAACTTTTATGACGGTTAGTTAATGTGGACCGTCCGATCCCCTCCACTTTTCGCCGTATTAAATGCATCGTCTCACTTATCTTGCGGTGGGAGTTTGAATATTAGAATTTTATCGTTGAATTTTAGAATATTATAATGATAAATTTAATTTAAAATATATCACGAAAAAATTTTAATGAGTAAGTTTTGATATTAATTTTGTCAGGATACTAAATATCATTAAATTCATTGAAATATATCAATTTAGTACGAACGATAATCAACCAAACGATACTTTGAATTTTTCTTTTTTTGGTGATCAGAGTGTCCGAGTCAATTTGTGTACACCTCAATTAATCTCCTAAGACCCTAAAGTTAACAACCAAGTAAACCCTCCAAATGGTCACCTTTATTAGCAATCGAGAATAATCGAACTCAAAACTTCTTGAGTAATATACTTAAAAGTCTCTATTTTCCACCCAGCCACCCATGAATGGTTTTATTTTATTTTATTTTTTAAAATTGAAACAGGGTATCTAAGTCAACTTACGTGCACCTCGACTAATCCCCGTAACTAATACATCATCTTGCTGTCATAATCACCCGCTTAAGTATAGATTTAATAAAATTAATATTACGACATCCTACATAAAGAATTGGAATGATAAATTCACGGGTAATATATAAATGAATGTTGGCTTACCATATCTTCGTTGTCTTGATGTAATTGCCATTACACAAACTAATCTAATAAAATACAAACCAAAATATTCCCAATTGGTAAATTTTAAGAGGGGTCTTCATCATCAAGAAAAACCCAAATATATGCGTACGTTATTGTTAACCAAAGTTGTTCGAAGTCCCCATCAAAATTAGGGTTTATTCAAATTCATATACGTGTCTTTGAGTATATCAAAATCATTTAATTCTAGTCTCGCACTTCATTTGTTTGTGAAAATGACCCTTAAACAACACAAAGACAAAATACATGACATAACAAACTACCTAGTAGATAAGTTACCTAATCCAAATTTGGGATAATCTCTTACCTATCTACCTTTGTTATTAAGAATTTATGAAAGTAAAAATATGGGTCGTGTTGTAATCTCGAAGATGAACGTCCTCAAACTTTTAGTTGTTAGCTTTGATTTTTGCATTTTATATACGATAGCGATCAAATTTGTTGGCCCTTAATTAATTTATAAGTTAAATTTATCAAATGTCAATTATCGATGGTTGGCTTCACAAAATACAAAAATCAAAACCTACAATCGATCACTAATTTTTAGTTCGGGTTAAAAACTTCAGGATGTTCGTACTTGAAAATTTTCTATAAATAAATAAATTTTCTTCTACAAACGTCAAAATCATCTAATTGTAGTCTCTTGCTTCAATTGTTTTGTGAAAAGGACTCGTTTCTAGACAAGGGGACAAAACCAAACCGATATATAAATTTGCATGAGTCATGGAATTGCAATTTGGAATTAGGTATTTCTACCAAACTCATACGTAACACTTGCTATTTTTGATAATCTCTTTTAATTAAATTTCCTTATTATTGTGACAATAGAGTCCAAATACATCAACCATATTATATTAAATTAATCTTAGTGACGTCTAAGTAAGTCAACGAGCTATATTATATTGTATGAATTAATTTATACAAATTGTGATATACTGTATTAGGTTCATGATTTTTTTTTTTTTTTTATTTCAGTTAATATATCAACTAAAAATTAGGTGAAATATCACTTAATTTAAAATTTAAAGCCAATAAAAATTAACGGATTGTAATTTTGTAGATTTTCTTAAATTGAACAAATTATATATATTCAAATTATACATCTTAGTGGAATGTTAATTATATATATATATCAAAATGGTTAAATATAATTAGTTTTCTGAGATTAATATTATTAATCCATTAAAAAAAAGCAAACGGTGTATTCCCACCTAAGGTAAAGCGAAATGTCAAGTTCCCACCTGTCAAGTTTTAAAACGACACTTTTTCCACCCGTCAAGTTTTAAAACGACATTTTCCACCCATTGTTATGTTCTGTTAGGAAAATTCGTTATTTGACATGATATAAATAGCGTAAAGACGAAGATACCCTTCTTTTTTCTCCTCTTCTTTCTTTCCCCCTTACCTTCTCACCACAGTATTCTCACACAAATTCTCCACCCTTATCCAAATCAATATACAACAACATCATCCAAATAAAAACAAATAATAATAAAAAAACTGAAGAAAAAAAATAGTTGGCCGGATGCGAGTCGGTTGGAATCGCACTCAACCTAGTGCGATTTCAGTCGAAAGGTGATGGTCAAGGATGAGTCAGCGTTCAGATAATCAAAACATTTCAAATAACAATCAAGCAAACTCCAATCAATCAACCAAATCAAACAAACTCCAAATCACAATCAACCAAATAGCCAACAATCAATCAACAGACGAGGGGTCGTGCGAGGTCGAGGTGGCCGTGGGCGGGCCGTGGTGAGGTGGGATGTAGGGTGGAGGCAATGTGTATTCAAGTGGGAAGGTGGATAGGATAAGGGGACTGGTCGATCACGTGATATCCAATGCGACGACAATGATGGGCGGTTGTTGCGTGAAAAGGGTCATGGGAAGTAAGGAAGACAGTTGGGAGGGTGAACAAGAGAATGGGTGCTTCAATTTTCGACAGATTGGTATGTTTTTTTCTAAGTTTATATATAAGGGATAGAATGACATAATTAACCTTTACTATTTTTTGAATTTACTATTATGTCCTTCCTCGGTTAAACTTGACAGAAAAATTTTAACATGAGTGGGAAAATGTTGTTTTGAAACTTAATGGGTGGAAACTTGTAATTTCGCTTTAGGTGGGAACATGCCACCTGCTCAAAAAACGAAAGAAAGGGGATGGTGTTAAATATTTGCTTGAGACAACTCATCTTTGTGTTTGAATTGTAAATTTTAATGAAGAAAATCGAATCTTGAATTTCAATTTTCTAATTCTTTGAATATTGGAGATTTGCTAAATCTTGACTTGTTGCACGTGTGTTCACATGAAGACTCGGCTTTCTCTAATGGAGGAGCCTTATAATTTATATATATTTTTTCAAAAGATAGTTATAAAAAGAAAATGAAGAAATTAAATACTAAGATTACCGGCAAATAAATACTTAAAATATAAGGAATAATCATGATAAATGTAATACTTTATTTCTAGCTAATATACTCGTAAAATATATATAAAAAAATATACATATAAACGAGTATAAATTTATGGCCCATATTTAATTTTCCTTTACATATAAATCTTTATATAATATAATAAAATCTCAAAATAGTAACTTGACAGTGTAACCCAACTCTTCCACTGCATGATGTTCTAAGCGACCGTATCTCACTTATTACCTGCAAAAACATTAAAAATAACGGGTTGAGTACTAATTGTTCAGTAAATAAATCCGTTAT